GATCATATTATTGACAACTATCGCTGATTAGAACTAAGGCATTTGGAGCTATGGCAGAATATTACCCATACGTCTCACTGACATACACAAAAGGATTGCATCGGATCACGGTTTTAATGCAAACAATGTCAGCTCGCTTTTATTTAAACCACCGTGTATTCCTGCACGGCAAAACGATTTCAGCACAGAGCTCAATTCAAGTCAGAGGTGCCTGTGCTGCCCTGAAGCACGCGAACTTACGAGTGCGCGTGTTTTGCTCACGTTCAGATATATACACCGCAGTTTCACTCGCCTATCACTCTGAACATTACTACTATAGTAGCCCAGAAATGTGTGTAACGCGCATGACGTCACTTCACATGCCGCACCCCCTCCCCCCCCCGTAATTAATAAAATAATAATTAAATAATCATGAGCGAGTGGATATTTTACCCTCACGCGGAAGAAGGTGGAGCGGAAAGATTTGTTTTCGCAAAGTCGCTTCAAGTACGACGTTTCTTTACAGAAAGTGTCGGTCAAAAATAAATATACGCAGCACGGTGCAACGTCCGTACGTGACGTCACTGTAAAAGAGCCCCCCCCCCCTCATGAATATTCATGAGCGGGTGGATTTTTACACTCCGCCAGGTCGAGCGGAGAAACATTTTCTAAGCAAATTCGCTTAAAATTTGACGTTTCTTTATTGAAATGTTATCAAGTAAATAATTCTACGCAGCAAAAAAAAAGTGCTTTTGGTGTCTTCATTTCTTCTTCAGCGCTTGAAACAAAAGCTAAGTAGAGTCAAGGAATTCCAGCAGAAGTTCGTGGATCGTCAATGGTTAACAGATATGTGGTGCCGTACAAAATCCCCTTCTGCTGCTGAGGCACAATGCTCACGTTCAACGTCAAAGTCTGCGCATAACTAAGAGCTGTGAAATATATTCATAAATGTGTTTACAAAGGATTCGACCGTTGCCAATATGACGATCACTCGCCGGCGAGAATCCTCAACTTCGACTGCGACGAGCTGTCAAATTTCATCAAGGCACCAGAAGCTACGTGGCGTTTGCTCGAGTCGCCAATGCACGACCGTTCGCATGCCGTGATGAGATTGCCCTGGCGTTTGCCAAATCAGCAAGAAATTGCGTTTCAAGAAGATCGAGAAGAAGAGGCGTTGGAAGCCGCACGAACAAGTCGCACTAAGCTCGAATCTTGGTTTCAGCTAAACGTGATTGATCCAAACGACCAAGATCTTCTCTACAACGACATTCCCTACAATTATGTGTACGTTAACAACAACTGGAAGCAGCGACAAAGATGGAGGCACTAAGATCGCTGCGAGATTGTACACTGTTGGAATCAAAGATGAGGAGCGATTCTATCTTAGGATGCGCTTACTGCACGTCAAAGGTGCTACGAGTTTTTAATTCCCCAGAACCTTCGATGGCGTCATTAACACCACAGTCATCCTCATTTGCTGGATTCAGACGAAGAATGGGATTGATGCATGCAGGAGTCCGCGACATATCAAAATGCGACAGCCGTTTGCGTACATTTGCTGCTTCTGCATGCCAACAAACGCTGGCGAGTTGTGGAACAAGCATTCACTTGACATGTCGCTGGATTGTCTACGGCATCATGACGACAATGTTGCATTGAACATGGCTCTGCACGACATCAACGCGATTCTCAAACAACGTGGATTGTCATGCGCATCAATTGGTATTCCGCAACCGATGCGACATCCAATCGGAGCTCAGCTATACGACGCAGTGCAAGAAGAACATGTGACTTGACCGAAAGAGCCAAAGAGTAAGAACAAGAAGCTGAAACGAGAATCTTCTCCCTTAATGGGCAACAGTTTTAATTGTTCACAGCAATAATGAGAGCTGTCGACGATCAGCATGTCCACAACAAACTTTTCTACTCAGATGGTCCTGGCGGCTCCGGAAATACTTTTTGGCACTCCACGCTGCTCTCATTTGTTCGTGAAAAATGTCAAATCGCTCTTCCTTTTGCGACCACTGGAATCGCTCGCAGCGACTTTACTGAAAGGCGGACGAACTGTGCACAGCGGATTCAAGCCTCCAGTTCCCCTCCTCGACACATCTTCTTCGTCGATGAGACTGAATTCGCCAGAAGGCGAAACGCTATGACAAGCTTCGCTCATCATCATTGATGAAATTACGATGCTGACAAAGCATGGCCTTCGATGCATCGATCAGCTGTTGCGTGACATGCAGATTCAACGGCCGTCTGGTGCAAAAGTCGTCGTAATCGGTGGCGACTTCAGACAGACTTTGCCGGTTGTAGCAAAAGGCACCCATGTTGATGTCACCGAGTGCTGCATCAAATCCAGCGTATGATGGCAGCGTTTGACTAAATTGACTCTCACGGAAAACCTTCGGAGTGATGGTCAAAATGAGCATAACAATTGGCTGCGGAAAGTTGGATTGGGAACTTTGCCCGATATATCTGGAGTGCCGTTAGGTTCCATTGAAATTCCACCTCAAATGATAACGGTTGATGATCTGGTCACCGCAATTTACGGTCAGAACTTGCGACACATGCCTGCCGAAGAGCAATTTCTGGCACCTACCAACAAGGACACTCTCGAAATGAACCTAAACATCATCACACAGCTGTCCGGAGACCTCCGAATTTATTGCAGCTCTGACTCGATCGTGTCGGGAGATCCTGCAGACGCATTGAATTACCCTCCAGAATTTCTTCACGATCAAACGCCTTCAGGAATGCCACCACACGCATCGCCACTGAAGACAGTCGTCATCATCATGCTGCTGCGAACTCTGAACCCGAATAACGGTCTTTCCAATGGAACGCGTTTGATGGTCAAATCATTACAAAATAACTTCATCACCGCAGATATTGTATCGGAATGCAACCGAGGCGAAATCGTCTTCATCCCGAGACTCGACCTAGCTCCAAGTGATGTCACTCTTCCTGTCGTACTGAAACGACGACAAATTCCGATAATTCCTGCGTATGCGATGACGATCAACAAGTGCCAGGGTCAGACTTTTGAAAATGTGGGGATTTATCGCAATGGACCCCGTGTTTTCCCATGGACAGTTGTACGTGGCTCTGTCCAGATCTAAAAATCCTCAGCTGATCAAAGTGTTCATCAAGGATAGTCAACTGCAGGGAAACCTTTTGAACAGTGATAAGAGATTCACACAAAATATCGTACACCGAGAAATCTTCCAAAGTCCTTAATTTCATTTTTTTAATTTTGATTTAAAGCTTTCGTGACTGCAGTAATTCATATTCTTAGTTTTTTCGGTAAAGTCAACGTGACTTTACCGAAAAAACTAAGAATATTCATTTTTTAAGTTAAGAAAAATTTATTTACGTGCAACAATTCAATTTTTTTTTTACAATCACACGAAAATGTAAATGTACATCTTTAACATTACAGCTTCCGTCCTAGGACGGGCAAAAGGCTAGTTATTATAATTATTATAATTAATATGTGCCAGACCATGCTCGAGCACGGTCTGACAGCCTCTTCCGCCTGGCTTCCTTGTGGCACTTCAGCTCCGCGACGCAGTGTAGCTCCTCAACCTTTCAGGAGATTTGATCCCCATTTATGTACCGTGTGTTGAACTTCCTTTGCATCGTACGTAACCAACCATACTAATAATCGGAGGTGCGGGGGGAAGGACAGCAAACTAAACACGAAAATTAGTTGCAAAGAAAATACATTTTCAATCTAGATTTAAAAGTGCATAGCTCCGGTGGCTTCCTTATATCGGCAAGAAGAGCGTTCCAGACGGCCTGCAGAAGCGCATCTGAAAGCGTGCGATGCAGTGACCGTCTTTGTTCGACGGTTAGCCAAATGCCTGCTGCGAGGTTGACCAGAATTTACATGATGGTTTGTGCTCCTTGACGAGATCAGCAAGATATTGTAGTTCACGTATGGCTTTACCGAAAGACCCAAAGAATATGAATTCCTGCGGTCACGAAAGCTTTAAGTCAAGATTTATTGTAGTTTATTTGTGGCAAGCACTCCGTGTGTAATGAGCGCGACCTCGTAAGATTGTAATACTGCGGGTGCATTAACCACGAGACGCTCCGCGCCATCTCATTCAGAGTGGACATTTAAGAATCCGTGGTGTAATTTGATGGCAGGAGAGCAGTAGGCCAGCGTCATATGAATGGTGCGTGCGGTTCGCTTTGCGTGTCGATGGTTTGGGAATGACTCAACCCTAACATATGCACGCTCGCCCCCAGAACACCCGTGACCTCTGGGTGTGCTTTGACTTTCCCTGAGATAGTGGTGAGCTAGTCAAGAACCGCCCTCGGGACGCACACCTTTGCTTTTAATTCATTATTCCCTTTCATTTCAATGTCCTGAATATTCCCTTTCCATGTTCTTCCCACAATGTTGTTTTTTTATAGTTGCTTTCCTTAACCGTGCAGCAGATATAACGTCCTTCAGTATGAGATAAGGCTGCGCTGGAAGTTGCTTTGTTGTATTATTTCGTTGCTCCAACGATGGGCGCTTTTTAAATAGCTTTTTAAAGAGTCCCGAAATGTCTCGGATACCGGTTATGAAAACAAATCCACCGTGACTTGCAATAAACAGGATAGTAAGTAGCTAAAACACGTTTAAAAAAGCTGTTGAAACCTGCCACGGTTCCCACATTTTAAATAAAATAACATTCTCACTGGTGTCTCTGTTGCCCACCACCTGCTTCTAAATGCAGCAAATCCCAGCGGAGCAGTACAGAGTTTGTCTGCACAACATATTTTTGCGACGTAAAAAAAAAAGTTACACTGACGTTAATCCAGCAACATTGCCACCATCGCTCCAGACGTTTCCATGGCGAGTAATCTGATACTGGCTCCTCTGTTGCCATCATACCTTTTCATAACGCCCCCCCCCAACCCCACTTTACAAACCCGGCACTCGATCTACCCAAGCACCTCCCTGTCCCTCCCACAGCTCAACACCTCGCTCGCTCTCTCTCTCTCGCTCGCCTCGCTGTCCAATCTCCGTTCTGCTCCCACGCATCCCGAGCCACCCCTATGTCTGAGCACGGTTAAATGCAGCGACTCTGCGCTGCTACGGTCAGCAGAGCTCAGGACAGTTTCAGGTTCCCGCAGCTGTCCTCCGTCATCTATATCCTCAACCAAATATATCTCCTCTCTCAACCTTCCCATCTCTTGTCTCACTGCACTGTCTCCCAACTGGCCGCTCAAAAAGCTATCAAACGTTCATCCCAGTCTGCAGTATATTTGCCAAACTCACACATATATATACAAGACGCAAAAAAACATATTTAGGGGCCAGCCTGACTAAACTGTATTTAATCAAAGCTGTAAGCTGCGATTTTACCATACGACTAGTCGTCTGATAGACATCAGTCCAGGCTTCACCTGACCCTGACCCAGCCATATCTTCAGCAGTCCTGCTATGGACAGCTCCGAGCAGCAGAGACGGGTGCAGCTGGGGCGAGTGCAGACAGCAGACTCCATGGAGCAACGGAGCCCCAAGAAGCTGCAGTTTGTCATGCCGCCCGGGCAAATGCAACTCGACCCCGCCGCGCTTGAGCAGGTGAGACGCCGACAACAGCACGGGTACAAGGGTGGCACAGGTGAGACGCTGCCTGGAGCAAGGGTGGCACAGGTGAGACGCCGACAACAGCACGGGTACAAGGGTGGCACAGGTGAGATGCTGACTGGAGCAAGGGTGGCACAGGTGAGATCCTGCCTGGAGCAAGGGTGGCACAGGTGAGACAGATGGAACGGTTATTTTAAAAATGGCCAAACAGATGTTTATCTAAGAATCGGTTTTACCGTTTCTGGCAATAGAACAGTTGTGTTGAGATGTAAAAACACCAAACAGAAACCTTTTGCAAGGAATTATGTCTGCATTTAACATGCTCTGATAGTATATGCATTGTCTTTGAAACTGATAGTGCATTGTCTGTGTGCTGTTCGCCTTTTGGCGTCCTCTGGTCTAACACCGTTTGAGATGAGGCTCTAAAAGAAATCTGTCTCTGGTGTGGATCAATCCGTGTTTTAACATCTTAACACCTGTTTTATTGCCAGAAAGTGCAAGGGAGATCCCATGATGAGATGTTTACAGTGAGGGAAAAAAGTATTTGATGCCCACTGGCAAATAAATGATCAGTCTATAATTTTAATGGTAGGTGTATTTGAACAGTGAGAGACAGAATAACAACAAAAATAATCCAGAAAAACGCATGTCAAAAATGTTATGAATTGATTTGCATTTTAATGAGGGAAATAAGTATTTGACCCCCTCTCAATCAGAAAGATTTCTGGCTCCCAGGTGTCTTTTATACAGGTAATGAGCTGAGATTAGGAGCACACTCTTAAAGGGAGGCAAACGTACAAAATCAGCAGGGGATCAAATAGTTTTTTCCCTCACTGTATCTGTTTAAGTATTATTTATTACCCACGATATTCCACGGCGGTGCATAATTAATACTGTAGCCTAGGTTTTCTTTGCAAAGTAAATACTGAAACAGATCTTTCTGGTCTCCCGGCAAGATAAAAAAACAATGAATAATTAATTTGTAGTTTTAGAAAAGCATTGCCCAATTTTCGTTGCATACTCCTCATTAAATGTTGCACATTGATCCCAGATGAGCAGTTGTGCTTTAGGTACAGCTTTTCAAGTAGTACTTCAATCAGCCATGCTCACTTGGTCTGCATGGATAACATATAACTAGGCACCTCCACAAAGGTTTCATTCATTCTCCCACTGGACTATTGATCGTCTAAAGGTCACCCGACTTTAGCTTGTCTTGTTGAGTCTCGCACGCTTCCATTAACACCCAATACACAATCCTTTGTCACTGCACTGCTGGATGGATGCCTTCTCACACCATGTCGGTAATGGGAGTTTATATGACCATACTTCACCATACTGGTCAATGAGGGTTGGTAAAGGGATGAAGGGTGCCCAGGATCAGTACGAATATCAATTGTTAACAATTTGGCCAGGAATTGAAATCAGGCCCGCCGGGGTCTTAGTGCAATGTGCTAACCACTGTCCAAATGTATGGATGCTAAATATGTTTAATTGTGGCTCTGTGAGTCTTTGACACCTTACATTAATTATAAGTATCCGTATTTTCGAATTTGAAAGAGTTACAAAGAGGGCAGCATTTGAGAAAGGGATAACCTCTCCTCGGGCCAGCAGGCGACCGGGGGAGTTTGCATCAAGTTTAGCTTGCTGGAACTGGGAGCACATGGCCGTGAAAAATCTAGCAAAGTCACAGGTCGTTCTTGTGAGGACTTTCTGAGGTCCTATTTGGAAAAAAAACCCCTCAAGTACAGACCAATACTTTAAGCCATGTTATGCTGTATAAAGCCTCCAATTTGAATATACAACACCAATACAAATCCACCAGCGTATATGCACGCTCACGAGGACACTACAATCGTCGCACAAAACACCCATTGTGTTCTTTAAAAAAATACTGTATATAGGTCAGGGATATGATTGTGCAAGAGAGGAACATGGCCGTTCATAACCAGAAAAAAAGAACACATTTTCAAATTTCAGCTATTTTTCGAGAAAACAAAAATACGAATGAATGACCCAGAAAACCCTCCCTGAGTCTCGAGATGCTTGTTCATGCAGGTCCAGAATTGCGACGTTTGGCAACACTGATAAGTGTTGCGCTTCAATGTGGAGGCACCAGAGGACCCTTAGAAAACAGACTACGCATACGAGGGGATGTCATTCGACACTGTAAACTGTTGTTCAACATTTGCGGTTCCTGCATGCTTGTACGAGCTCCGAGAGTCACTCATCTCAGCTCTAACCAGGCTCAATGCTGCTTAGCTTCCAAGATCCAATGAGATCGGGGAAATTGAGAGTGATTTTTTTTAGACTTAGGGTGATTTCCTGAGCGACTGCTCAACAAATGTGTAAACATTTTCAGGGATTATTCATATAGGGATTGAAAGCTAACAATATATAAAGTTACATTTTCTTACGGGTACAAGTAATCTTTTTTGTAATCAAGTAAGAGTCCATTGAGACCAGAGTATCTTTATTAATAGAGACGTGTTAACAACAAAGATTATAAAAGTACATGATATATCATTCGGGTAACACGTGGTTTCAATAAAGGTTTCTATTTTTGCATGTGGCAATATATTCAGGAGCTAAATGCTAATGTCGTGGTCTGCTGGCCACGACAAGATGGAGTCAGGAGAGACAGTTCGTGCTTTGGCTGTTCCTCCTCTGTTGAAGAAGCACATACCACAGTGGTTTACTAAACGGTCCATAGTTTTGGTTGCAAGGACACAATCGGAATACTGTGGCTTGTCATTAAATTGCCATTTTAAAAAGCAATGCACCTGTACAGAGACATATGACCAAATTGGGCTAGAATTTTCCTTCTTGATTTGAAGCTTTCGTGGCTGCAAGAATCCATACTCTCTGGTTCTTTCGGTAAAGTCACGTAGATAGAAAAAATAATAAAATAAAACACGACGTTTCGGTCGCAACACAAGCGGCCGTCTTCAGGTGAGAAACTCCTAGAGCCAAACTCCTCCTTTATCCTCCCCTCCCCTGCCTATATAAAGCCACAACAGCAGATATTTTTTTCTAACCTGAAGACGGCCGCTTGTGTTGCGACCGAAACGTCGTGTTTTCTTTCATTATTTTTTCAATCTACGTGACTTTACCGAAAGAACCAGAGATAATAAAATATTCCTGTCCGCTCTAAAATTTTGGAAAGCTCAGCAGATTTGAAACCTGGGTCGTTCGATTGAAATGAGCAACTACCACTCACTCCAGCGCGGTATCGTTCTGCTGCACGGCTGCGTGCTGTGCAGGAGAGGGCAGTGCAGAAAAATACATTGTTGCACTGTGCTCTACTGCTAGATTCCTCCACCCCTTCACCAATCCGCACTGAACAGCGTGGCGACGTACATTCCAACAATGCCTATGAGTCAGGGGTCAGCAAACTGCCGCCGGAAGCAGCATGCGTCGCTTTAGCGACTGCTTCGTGAGCGTTATTTATTCCAGTGCCACCGTCTCGTATTCAGCACGTGCATTCCGGCTCTTGAAGTATTGAGATGTTTTGTTACCGAATTCAGCAGTGGATTGACAAAAGGGCTGTACACGTGCAATGCACCTGTTGACATATACGGTATATGTATTTATCACTGCATCGATCTGTGCTGCACGGTATCAGATTCGGAGGAGACGTCCCACTCCGGCCAAGTTGGTGGTCATGAACGAGCAGGCGTCACAACCAGGTGAGTGATGACACAAAGGGGGCAACTTCAGGGAAGAAGCTACAAAGGGAGGCCCAGTGGGACACCGTGTCCTGACACGCACACACAGAGTGGGGCTGGGCACGATGAGCACTGGTCTGAGGGCGAGGCACGGAGAGGGCACACAGGGCACGGTGATACGACACAGCACGGGGGAGGCACTGCAGCGTAATGGGGCCACGGTGGCACGGAACGTGATCAGGAAAGCTCCTACTAGCACAGCAGGGCAGGGACAGGACCACAAACCAGTGCCGTAGTGACGACATGATTAGCTCAGGGGGTGCGGCAGTCGGTCAGGTGGGGCCCCAATATTGTGATTTGTCTCGCGTGGCCGCACCTAGAGGCCATTGCATATCGGGGCTCCTCTTGGCTAATCACGGAATTTACGCTCACGGTTTCGAACATTTTAACCGCGTTTTAAATGCGTTTTGGTTATTTGACACTGTTGTTGAAAACAAATCTCATGGTGGTTGTCAAGGGGGTCCCAATTCGTAGCTTTGGCCACCAGGGGAGCGGGGGGGGGGGGGCAAGGCACCCCCTGCCCTCACGCTCGTTCCATTACAGGACACAACACGTGCACTGCAGTGCAGGACACAACACGTGCACTGCAGTGCAGAACACAACACATTCACTGCAGGGCAGAACACAACACGTGCACTGCAGGGCAAGACACAACACGTGCACTGCAGGACAAGACGCAACACATGCACTGCAGTGCAGAACACAACACGTGCACTGCAGTGCAAGACACAACACGTGCACTGCAGGGCAAGACACAACACGTGCACTGCAGTGCAGAACACAACACATTCACTGCAGGGCAAGACACAACACATTCACTGCAGGGCAAGACACAACACGTGCACTGCAGGACAAGACGCAACACATGCACTGCAGTGCAGAACACAACACGTGCACTGCAGTGCAGAACACAACACGTGCACTGCAGTGCAGAACATAACACGTGCACTGCAGTGCAGAACACAACACGTGCACTGCAGTGCAGAACACAACACATTCACTACAGGGCAAAACACAACACGTGCACTACAGGACAAGACACAACACGTGCACTACAGGACAAGACACAACACATGCACTGCAGGGCAGAACACAACACGTGCACTGCAGGGTAAGACACAACACATTCACTACAAGGCAGGACACAACACGTGCACTGCAGTGCAGAACACAACACGTGCACTGCAGGGCAAGACACAACACGTGCACTGCAGTGCAGAACACAACACGTGCACTGCAGGGCAAGACACAACACGTGCACTGCAGGGCAGAACACAACACATGCACTGTAGTGCAGAACACAACACGTGCACTGCAGTGCAGAACACAACACGTGCACTGCAGGGCAAGACACAACACGTGCACTGCAGTGCAGAACACAACACGTGCATTGCAGTGCAGAACACAACACGTGCACTGCAGGGTAGAACACAACACGTGCACTACAGGGCAGAACACACCACGTGCACTGCAGGGCAAGATACAACACGTGCACTGCAGGGTAGAACACAACACGTGCACTACAGGGCAGAACACAACACGTGCACTACAGGGCAAGACACAACACGTGCACTGCAGTGCAGAACACAACACGTGCACTGCAGGGCAAGAAACAACACGTGCACTGCAGTGCAAAACACACCACGTGCACTACAGGGCAGAACACACCACGTGCACTGCAGGACAGCACAGAACACGATGATCACAACGACTAGGCTTTTTGTGTTTATACAAAAAAAAAGTAATCGAAATTAACATACATTTATAACCCGTCCAATAGATAAAAACGCAAAGTGCAAGCGATGTTACTACACAGTTCGCCGTGAATTCACTCATCTATGTCTATCTCCGCCTCTTTCTCGGTGGGGGAGCAGATGACAGGACTCAAGATCCCTCGGAGGTGAGTCTCTTGAAGTTTAGCGACAACAAAGGCGCACGCCACGCTCGATAAATATAACGATCAAGGTTCCGCATGCTCGGGTCGCGGCCGTCCCGTGCTTTCAATGAACAGCGTTCGCGTGTGGTACACAGCGCTATTGTGACGTGTCAACGACGTCACACGGCGCCTTATCTACTCATTAACGTCGTAACCTAAAGCATCCACAATGAAATGTGGAAGCATTCAATATCCCCCCCCCCGTGCAGTCGGCAGCCACCACCTTATTAACCCTCTCCCCTGTCGGTCTGCAGGCTCTCCGCTCAGCCTGTGTGCTAGTTGGCATCTCTTGGATGTGAACGGGCCTCGTTCGTTCGTTTGTTTTACCGCTGGAGCTTGCCCAGGGCAATTGGAGAGCACGAGCGTGGATGAGGAACACAGACTTGTAAACGGCCCAAACAATGATGATAGATTTACTGCTCGTATGGCCCAAGCGGGTTTCTGGTACCACTGTGCAACGAGCGGTCCAATATGTCTTGTGACCCGCCCCCAATGAATTGACCCCTTTGCATATTCGCTTATGTTTTAAATAAACCTTACTTAAAAAAAAAACAAATATCACGTTTAAGAGAATAAATTAGGGTCACAAGACATCCGGACCACCCACCCTACCCCGAAGACTCTGCTGTATATGTCCACGTTGAACATTGCATTCTCTCAACATTCGCTTAAAAGAAAAGCAGTCTCTTGGTGTGGACCAATCAGTTTCAAGGACAATGCGTCATATATTATCATAGTATGTTTTTTGTTTGCATTTTGACTGCAAGTATTGTGGTTAGTGCAGACATGAATCCTTGTCATAAGGTTTCAGTTTTGTTGCCAGAACAAAGGGGAAAAACCCTATTATTATATTTTGGTACTGGCAAAGGAGGTCTAATGATGAAGGTACAGACCCGTTTGTCTACCCGGCAGCGTGGGTCTGTGACGGATATTTTCACCATACTTCAACACGCTGGTCTGTGGAAGGTGGAATTAGTACGGTTGGCTACGTAGGGCGCAAAAGAAGTTAAACAGTGGATAATGCTGTACTGCCCTCTGCTGGCCAGAACGTCTATCGCACCGTTGGTTTGTCGTGGTCACCCATCCGAGCCCTATCTAGGCTCAAGTCTGATCATACGAAATTGCCGCCATCATTTCGGGTGGTGTGTTGTTTACAATTTCACTGCAGACTGCCCTTGTCACGTGAACATCGTGCTCTGCCATATGGAGTGGCAGCTGCTGACCAAACCCCAGCGCACAGTCCGCTGAGGTGACCCCGATTTAAAATAATAGCGGATCGCCTTCGCTGCGTGCATTGCGACTATTTCTTTGCTAATATTGTGCGAGATTGTTGCATTAAAAGACCACGAGAAAAATATATACAGTGTGATCCATTTATTTATATCCTACAAACACAAAAGACGTGACCTTTATAGAGAAGCCTCTGTTTTATTTCAAAGCTTCTACACGCCTCCCACCCAATCTGGGTACACGTATTACGTCCGTTAACGCTCTCCTCTGTAATACACGGGAGCCATCGCTCCCACAACACAGCATGCGAATCACCTGTTGAGAAGAGCGTGAGAGGATTATTCCTCATTAGAAATCAGTGAGGTATCTATAAATGGATCACAATAAGCATCGAGACTTTCAATATATTATTATTGTTGTTATAAATGCTCACGTGAAGAATGCCTTACAATTTTGTTTGCAATTGCGTCAAGCCGTCACAATGTTTCCCCACGCAAAACGCGCGTCATAGCTAAAATTCCACATTAATGTGGTGATGACGGTCACTCCACAGGATCCTTGATTTCACACAAAGTGCTATCGTGATCATCATCACTATCCATGTGTAATGTAGCACTCAGAGGTGCTGTCCTGCTTAAGTTATATATATTTTATATTACAGTCCACCCGACTCGATGACATGTTATCAGGTGAACGCAGGTTGACTATATACAACTGGGTGACTCTATATAGCTGCTACACAACGTTCACTATATAGCCGACTGACGAGATAGGAGCCGTCACTGTAGTAGCCACGGCGAAGATATATAACTTTTTTCCTAGCCTTCCAAGACGATGAGGGCGATCCACCGTGATGACAGCGATGACGGTCCGAACCCCGAATCCCCGCAGCAGCCCCGAGCCCCGCTCCGCACTGCCTTTTATTTTCCCTCAGCTCTGCCACGCCCCTTTTCCCGAACTCTCTCCTTTGCCTCACTATAACACCCTGGGGGTTCCATCTCTACCCCTGTATTGACTCCTCATCCAGTTAGCTCACTTGACCCTGCCTGTCCTCATCGCTGCAATCATTATACTATGTAACACAATTTTTGTTCCTGGGTAGTAAGTGTTCATAATAAAGGTTTTTGGGTTAGATCGCGTTATTTATAAATGTGTCGTAACCCTCCACCACCCGACACGGCCAATCAGCAAAAAAGTGTCACATTGACAAAAGACAAATAGTTCACATCTTTAGCCCACCGGTGTGTTGAAGAGTGAATCCACAACATTTACAGTTTGAGTACGACGTTTCGCTGGTAATTACATCCGGCATCATCGGGCAATTCGCCAGAATGGTAAAGCCCTCCACTTGCTCCCGGCATTAAATAGAGCAGCAGGGTGACGTCATCATTTAACTCATTCAGGTGCAGTGATTTGAGGCGGAGGGGGTATTGTAATTATATAATCGATTGGTAATCAGTCAATGGTTATGATTAGTAATGAGTTGTAGATTATTAATTAGTTGTAATGTTATTGTGATTATATGCTACGTTAGTAATCCGTTAATTAGTATGTATATAAGCCTACGTGTAGTAAGGGTTATTTCGTAATTGCTTATATATATTTTTTCAATCAGAAAACGGGCGAATTTGTGTCTTTTCGTTCACATAAAGTCAGTAAAAAACAACATGAATCAAAATTAACATGTATTTATACTGAAGTCATACAAAAATTACTACAAAAGATTTAGAAGTGAGTAGTTTTCGAGATTTACAGTTATACTGTAAATCACTTTAACGAATCAGCCCCCAAATGTTGTCTCCCACCATTTTCTCGTTATACTGTCCAGTATATCCTGGTGGAAGCACTCGCCTTGCACCTCCGATTACACTCCCATGTTCTCCTTAAAATTATCAAGATGAGCATCAAGGATATGGACTTTGAGGGACATCCTGCAGCCCATTGTGCCGTAGTTCTTCACCAGAGTCTCAACCAGTTCCACATCGTTTTCGACCTTGTGATTGCCCAGGAAGCCACGAACCACTGCGACAAAGCTGTCCCAAGGCGCTTTCTCCTTACTAGTGAGCTTCTTGGGTAATTCATTGCACTCCAGGATCTTCTTTATCTGTGGTCCGACGAAGACACCGGCTTTGACCTTTGCCTCAGACAGCTTAGGGAAGAAGTATTGAAGGTACTTGAAGGCTGCCGACTCCTTATCTACAGCTCTGACAAATTGTTTAATAAGGCCCAATTTGATGTGCAGTGGTGGCATCAGCACCTTCCGGGGGTCCACCAGTGGCTCCCACTTGACGTTGTTCCTCTCCACAGATAACTCGGTCCGCTGTGGCCAGTCCCACCTGTGGTAGTGCGCCTTGGTGTCCCTGCTGTCCCAAAGGCAAAGATAGCAGGGAAACTTGCCACCATTTTGAAGTCTCCGATGACCTCCCAGCCATACTCATCATACTTCAAGGCGACCAGCAAGGTCTTGATGCTGTTGTAATACTTTTTGAGGTGCACCGTGTGAGCCAGGGGAAGAGACGGGTACTTGTTAACATTATGGAGCAGCACGGCTTTGAGGCTCCTGGATGAGCTGTCAATGAAGAGGCGCCACTCATTCTGGTTACAGGCGATTCCGATTGCCTCGAAGCAGAGCCCGTCTTGACGGTGAAGAAGCTGCGAAAAGGTTGGTGACACTTCCTCTGATCTGCGACTTGCACACTTTCATCCAACAAGTTCCACTGCTTGAACCTAGCCGTCAAAAGCTCGGCATTGGACTTGGTGAGACCAAGATCTCTGATCAAGTCGTTGAGGTCTTTTTGGTTGGGGTAGTATGGGTTTGTCTCCTCAGCTCCACCTCTGAAATTGTCATCTGGATCTACAACGTCTTCCTCGCTCTCTGACTTGCTGCTCTAATCTAAAGACGGCTGCTCTCTCTCCGGAGGAGTGGGTACGGGGAGCTCATGGCAGTCTGGCACCGGGGCGATGGATGAAGGAAGGTCCGGATACGTGATAGCAAGTGCATTCTTGCCAGTCCGACGTTTGGAAGGGTCCCCCATGCAGAAGTAGCAGTTTCTTGAGTGGTCAGTGGGTTCCCGCCAAATTATTGGGATAGCGAACTTCATGGCTCTCTTTTCCCCTCTGTACCATCCTACGAAAATACATTTATTTCACCCATGACTAATGTGTAAGAGATTCTCGCAACATTTTTCATATATCATATATATTTTTTATAACATTGAAAATTGTAAAACATTTTAAAATTAAAAACTTTTACAACTTTTTGTTTTTATTTTAACAAATTTTATAACGTAAAATTCTGAGCAACAATTGCCCATCTTGCCTTCCAGAGTTTTTTTTGCATTGTTCACAGGTGAAATGAGGTGCCCAGGGTTTGTCCTGATCCCCGACAAGCTTGCTAAAATATTCCTTGTAGGCCTCGCACATCTTAGCAGATGCTTCCACAGAGTACTTTCTCGCTCTTGTCTTGATTAATTGGCTGCAGACATAGCAAAATGCGTCTGCCGGATGCTTGCAGCCTCTTGATGCCATCTCAGAAAAATGCAGATATGTATCCACTTAAGCAGCTGGAACTAAACTGAACTGGTGGGCCCCTGTATTTATACTACTATTTATATTACTGGCAAGTTCTAGAATTTTTTTGAAGTTACTCCAAGGTTACTCAGCACTGAATCTATTTGGAATGTTCTGGAAAATAGGTACATTTCAAAATATCACTGTCCTGGTCACAAAAGGTGGGGAATAATAGCCGTTTTATTTACTTTCGAGGCATAAGCAATTAGAAAATAACGCTTACTACCCAGGAACAAAAAGTTCATAAAACATTGTTACACAGTGTTATTTACGGCTACTAGGCCCCATACTGTCCTTACACATGGTTAATGCACTCCTGGATGAAGGGCTACCCAAGCAGTACTGTATATTTAACTTACGTTGCAATTATGGCTTTATTTTTTGGTGATTTCGAAAACGTTTTTTGGTATGGACATGTTTGTTTTGTTGTAGTACGGAGTTAGACTGATGGCATTAATCTAAGTTTTATTGTGGTTGTTGTTGTTGTTGTTTCACTTGCATCCCACTGGGATTTTTTGCACACAGCGTTGGTGTACGATGCTTTTTTCAGGAATATTTTGCTGGTTTTTTTCATGGATTTTCTGTTTGCACAGTCACATAGTCACTTTAAGATGTTTTCTTGTTCGTGTTTTTGCTTTTGTTTGTTGTGGTTGCACCTGATTCAAGAGCCGAATGGCTCACAGGGCTAACCAAAATAAATAAACTGAAAAATAAAACTGAAAAACTTCTTTCGCACTGTAAATAGCCAACCAACAAACTAAACACCAAAAGTAGTTCTAAATAAATTAGTTTCAATTCATATTTCAATGTGCATAGCTCCCAGTGGCTCCTAATATCGTAAGGAAGAGCGTTCCAGATGGCCGTAGAAGCGCATCCGAAAGCATGCGATGCAGTGACTGTCTTTGTTCGATGGCAAGCTTAAAAATGCTGCGAGGATGTCCGGAGTTCGTGTGATGGTTTACGAGATCGGTCATCACCCCTTTTCGTATATTGTCCTGCACGATTGACCCACCTCTGATTTCCCGCACCTCCGGTTAGCACGGTTGGTTACGTACGGTGCAAAATAAGTTATATATACATACCCAAGCCCATTTGCTTCTCTTAGCGGTTTGAACGATGCCATTTGCCTGCATTATGTTCTCTAATCCACGCGTTCTTGTAATCCGTGACACATTTGCACTGTGGGATATTAATATAATACATTAACATGACTCCTCTGGTTAAGACATTTTACATCATGCAATGCAGTCAGGATGTATAAGGCATGTCAATGTGACCCCACCTCAACACGCAGTGTACAGGTAAGGGTAACGTCCATCTCCAGAGTTTAAAGAGTAAAAAAACAACCCTTGTATTTAATTACTTGTATAACAAAAGAATAACGGGACACCATGAATGTGTACAATTAAAATTGTGAAATTGGATTTTTGCGTTGCAAAAACAAAAATCGCATAAAATCTTTGCCGACTATAATTATTACGAATGCAATTCATGATTGGGTACTAATTAGGTACAATAGTTGTCCGGGAAACATGCACGAAATGAATCACTCTAAGGTCCTCTGGGTGGCACTCGTGGATGGTCAAGTGGTCCCGGAGCGTCACTGATGTACGGTCTCTTATTTACCAAACACCGCAGGGCTGCGCAGTCGCCGACTCAGATAGCAGTGACGTCCCAAAGGCTACCACTACTACCAGCGACTGTGTGTACAACCCACCCACCATGGAAGGTACGTCCGTTTGCTTGGCTGTCCGTCCGTTAATGGATAGCTGAGCACATTCCCCCTGAAGGATCAAAGCGCAGGCCTTGGTCAGGCTGGCCCAGTTTTGTGCGGTAAGGCTTATCGTGGGGAATTTGGGCCGAGATCACTTTCCTGGTTTCTCGAAGCGTGTCGACGAGTTATCCCCGTGGTCATGGGACCATGGTACAACAATACCACAGTGGCTGATTGCTCAAGCGTTGCACAAAATAAATAGTTTGTAATATAATTTTAACAATTCTCGTGTTCCCATAATATAGTTTTTGAGTTAGATCGTGTAAATATAAATGCGTCGCTAAACCCGCCACACCCGACACAGTCAATGAGTAAGGTTTGTCAAGTAAACAAAACATGTCAATTCGTTACTAGTATAGCACACCGATGTGTTGGAAAGTAAACCCACAACATTCATAATTCGAGTATGACGTTTCGCCAGATATTACAACTAGCATCATCAGGTGACAGCCAGAGTTGTGGAGAATTATCGTGTACCTCGTAAAGCCTCACCGAGTCTCAAGGCCCTTTCAGGAAGGTCCCAATATCGGGCCGTTTGGCCTGACTCTACAGTGAGGGAAAAAAAGTATTTGATCCCCTGCTGATTTTGTACGTTTGCCCACTGACAAAGAAATGATCAGTCTATAATTTTAATGGTAGGTTTATTTGAACAGTGAGAGACAGAATAACAACAAAAAAATCCAGAAAAACGCATGTCAAAAATGTTATAAATTGATTTGCATTTTAATGAGGCAAATAAGTATTTGACCCCCTCTCAATCAGAAAGATTTCTGGCTCCCAGGTGTCTTTTATATAGGTAACAAGCTGAAATTAGGAGCACACTCTTAAAGGGAGTGCTCCTAATCTCAGCCTGTTACCTGTATAAAAGACACCTGTCCACAGAAGCAATCAATCAATCAATCAGATTCCAAACTCTCCACCATGGCCAAGACCAAAAAGCTCTCTAAGGATGTCAGGGACAAGATTGTAGACCTACACAAGGCTGAATGGGCTACAAGACCATTGCCAAGCAGCTTGGTGAGAAGGTGACAACAGTTGGTGCGATTATTCGCAAATGGAAGAAACACAAAAGAACTGTCAATCTCCCTCGGCGTGGGGCTCAATGAAAGATCTCACCTCTTGGAGTTTCAATGATCATGAGAACGGTGAGGAATCAGCCCAGAACTACACGGGAGGATCTTGTCAGTGATCTCAAGGCAGCTGGGACCATAGTCACCAAGAAAACAATTAGTAACACACTACGCCGTGAAGGACTGAAATCCTGCAGTGCCCACAAGGTCCCCCTGCTCAAGAAAGCACATATATATGCCCGTCTGAAGTTTGCCAATGAACATCTGAATGATTCAGAGGACATCTGGGTGAAAGTGTTGTGGTCAGATGAGACCAAAATGTAGCTCTTTGGCATCAACTCAACTCGCTGTTTGGAGGAGGAGGAATGCTGCCTATGACCCCAAGAACACCATCCCCACCGTCAAACATGGAGGTGGAAACATCATTCTTTGGGGGTGTTTTTCTGCTAAGGGGACAGGACAACTTCACCGCATCAAAGGGACGATGGACGGGGTCATGTACCGTCAAATCTTGGGTGAGAACCTCCTTCCCTCAGCCAGGGCATTGAAAATGGGTCGTGGATGGGTATTCCAGCATAACAATGACCCAAAACACACGGCCAAGGCAACAAAGGAGTGGCTCAAGAAGAAGCACATTAAGGTCCTGGAGTGGCCTAGACAGTCTCCATAACTTAATCCCATAGAAAATCTGTGGAGGGAGCTGAAGGTTCGAGCTGCCAAACATCAGCCTCGAAACCTTAATGACTTGGAGAAGATCTGCAAAGTGGAGTGGGACAAAATCCCTCCTGAGATGTGTGTAAACCTGGTGGCCAACTACAAGGCACGTCTGACCTCTGTGATTGGCAACAAGGGTTTTGCCACTAAGTACTAAGTCATGTTTTGCAGAGGGGTCAAATACTTATTTCCCTCATTAAAATGCAAATCAATTTATAACATTTCTGACATGCGTTTTTCTGGATTTATTGTTGTTATTCTGTCTCTCACTGTTCAAATAAACCTACCATTAAAATTATAGACTGATCATTTCTTTGCCAGTGGGCAAACGTACAAAATCAGATGGGGATCAAATACTTTTTTTCCCTCACTCTATATTAACGATCGCTTTGCCTTTGGTTAAAAAGCCGGAATAGATCGAGACAGTTCAATTTATAAGTATAACTGCGTGAGCATTCACCTTGGATTACGCATTCACTGCAAGAGTGAACACAAATACAACAAGAGCATCATTCTTTAATCTTGCGATGTGTCACGTTATAATGGGTTAGAGTGATACATACGAATCGAGAAAATTGGACGTCGAATGCAGACATCTCTGACCTGCGTCATCATAACGCCGTGGCAACAATGTCTTACATTAGCATGTGCGTAGATGGCCGTAAATTCAGTTTATTTTGCGTGGCCTTCACCCAGTGTGCAGCATCAGCATCAGCAGTGATTTCGTGAACCTGTTATGCGTTGCATAAATACCCATTAGCGACTCATCCTTTAGGAGCCCAGGGTCAATCGTGTTTAAAAATCAGAGACCAAGTCGGGCAAACCGCACGCCGCACGCTTGAAACGGGGAAGGAGTCAAAAGACATTTCCTGCCGTCTCACAAAATGAGACTTACGTTTTAGTGGAGCGGTTTAGCCCCAAAGTTACCGTTTCATCACCATCGTTGTCATCATATTCATTAAGTTGCTTGTATTTAACCGTAACATTTGGGAGGTCCCCCCCCCCATCCCGTATAATTTCAGAGCAGCCGTGTAAATCATAGCAGTCCACCACAGTGGGCGTGATGCATGCGATGGTTACGTTACTGTTTATTTTTTAAGGTTTTAATATTAGGGGGACTTATTCACGACAGCAAGTAGAATTCTCAACATTGCAAACATAACGTCATTATTTCAAGTAGGACTGCCATTTATAATACGAATTCAACAACATTCGAAATGTGTAATGATTTGGCTCACTCGCGTTTTGATTCATTATCACGACTGGGCTCATGAAAACATATTACATAACATGCATTAATTGAAAAACGTGAATGGGTACAGACACCTTTCTATGCACATATCGTGAGCTTAAGAATTGACATTCATTGATTCATCGGTGCATTGTTACATCCTACTAAGCTACCGACATATGCATATATAATTCATCTTTGAATTCTTGGCAACAACCTTGCTTGAACATTATCTCCATTATAAAAATGATCTGCCAACACAGTATGTATACATCATAAAACCAGCATTTTCGATTTCAGTGAATGAAAATTGGCAAATGCTTAAAATAAAGGGACGATGCCGTTTCTACATCTCATTATACATTTCAAATTGCAACTGTAATTATCATTCTGTAGCCCAGCTGCTGACCTATAGAGCAAAATAAAAATAAATACTTATGGAGATGCGATGCAAGCATGTGGAACTGATGCATGTTAAGCTTGTAAATGTTAACCCCGGTGCAGGTATGTTGAAAAATCGGCATATAACGGGGCTTAATTTCAGCCGGAGCTGTCCAGGGCTGAGCTCTAAAACAAGTGAATCATTGGCACGGTGGGGGGACAGGGCAGGTGATGGGAGGGGGCGGGTGTCCAGAATGTTGGGGGTGACCAAAAAATATTCTTCAACAAATGATTGAAATTCCAGTTGTGAGCAATGTGTACACGGTCATTGTTGCAGCCTCGCATAAATAATGAACAGGTTTCATGCTAAACAATCACTTATCCGTCTTTTGGTGAAGACGAAATGTAGTAATATGCTTAAAAAATCCATCGTGTCAGAGTGCAATCAAAATTTACAGTTACATGTTTTCTAAGTCACTTGCAATTAAAAACGAGTATGTACCTTCATCAAATGCGGCATCGACAAATTTATACGCAATTTTGTCTTAGAATCTTTTAAAAGTGCAGTGACTGTACTTGTCCCTGTGTGGTGCCGGGACTTGCTAAAGTGACGGCCGGTGATGTCATTGCGGGCAGTCCGGGTTGCGGGCTGCAGTACCAACCCTAGCGGTGGTTGGGTGAGCGCTGGTTAGCGTGGAGGCACCGCGAGCAGCGTGCGGTGCCGGCTCCCAGTGAGGGAGCGAGAGCGAGCGTCAGCCAGCCAGGGTTACCCTGGGGCATGACACTCTGACTGACCTGTTGTCACCTGACCGGACGATACTGGAGGGTGGCCACCGGTGGACGGGGGCCGAGGGGCGGTCACGTGGTCCCGGAGAGCTCTCGGGAACATTCGAGAGGGGAGCTCGAGAAGCCTGGAAGGTGGGCGGGGCTAAGGGCGTGGCTAAGGGCGGAGCCAGCCCCAGCCCGGGGGTATATAAAGAGAGCTCCGTGAGGAGCTCGGGGTTCTTCTTCAAGTGTTGGTGTTGGAAGATCCACGTCGGGGAGAAGAAGCCTCTAGCCACGCGGTCCGGGACCCAGCTTGTGGTCCAGACCGGGATAGCCAACCGTGTCTAGTTCTGCCGTAGCGTGGCTAGATGGGCATTCGAGACCCGAGCGTAGGTTGTGTTATGTTACGTATGGTTACGTGAATAAATAGTGTTGCTCCCAAGATAACGTCTGCGACTCAGTTGGACTCACTACAAATGTATAGTTTTTTTTATCGCATTGAACACTATTTTCCTTTTTACCCTACAAAAAAGAATACGATTTCATGTTGTGACTAATGTAAAATATGCTCGTGCCTAATTGTTGTTTGAGAAAGGTAAACACAATAGCAAACGTTAAGAAAGATAATAGTTGGCTTATCCTTGGCTTATGGAAGTGACGTGACTTGAGTGTGCAGGTGGTGAGACTGCACTGGTGGGCCCACAGGCTGGAGGTGCCACAGGCAGCTGCTGATGAAGAGGGGGGGGGGGTGAGACGGGGGGCCCCATTTCATTGCTTGTGCCAGGGCCCGTACCAACAACAACAACAACGCTGCACCACTGCATTGTACGGTTGTTTACTGCAGTGGTGTCTTCGAAATTTGACGTGACCTCTGATATCGCGAGATTAGACGGGTTTTATCTGGCTGCTTGCTTGTATTCAGAACTATCAAGGAACCACAGAAATAGGCTCACACTGCGACTGGAAATGTTAACTACCCAGTTGAGTCAAGCTTCCATGACTCAGTGCCTCGGAGCTTTGTTCTGAGTATAAATGTGCGGTATAAATAATGCCCTTCAGACGAGACGTTACGCAGAGCTGTGCTCTTCAAATTCAGTCCTCACGACTCCGTATCTTTCCATGATTGCCAACTAGCAGGTTGCAAGAGGCGTGCAGTGCCTTAATATGCATATGAATATAAAAACCTCTAAATATTTTGTCAACATTTGTTTTTTTATGCTTGTGCACCACAGCGAGCGCAACATCGCCAAGTGATTTTTTTATAATTACACGTAGAGAATATTGCAAATTACAAAACGGCGTACTTTGAGGGATTATTAGGACTCCCATGAATAAAAACTGATGGGAGATTTCTGTTTTTTATTGAATGCATTTCTTTCATTAAAAAAATACTCAGCTGCTTGTGCATATCAATATGAATGTTCATGTCATATTATTTGGGTCTTTCGGTAAAGTCGCGTAGATAGGTTCAAAGAAAATAACAAAAAACTACGAACACAAGCGTTCTTCCTGATGACGAACGCTTGTGTTGCGATCGAAACGTCGTGGTTTTTGTTATTTTCTTTGAACCTATCGACGTGACTTTACTGAATGACCCAAATAATATGAATTCCTCCAATCACGAAAGCTTTAAGTCAAGATTTAATGTTCATGTCTTCACAGTCAACAAATTCTCAGGACAAATTCCGTCTATACAATCGAAAATTGTCCATGGTGAAGAGTATGAATTCCAGTAAATAAGTGTGTAAATAGAATAAAGTCTTCTTTAACATGTGGCTCATCCATCTATAACACTTCACTAATTCGTTTTAATTAATGTTATATCATCTCAACTTATTCACTGATATGGCGGGGAATCGATCGGCAATGCGTAAATGTTAATGCCACGGTTGGTGAGCCTCAGGAGTAGCCTGGTGATGAATGTCTGAAACGCTTGCGGTGGATGATCAAAGTGTGCAGCGGTGTACCATGCGGTCCACAGTTCCCAGATTGGTGTCTGCAGTCGCACTGTGGGTTATTCAATGTCTAAATGAAATGGAACCATTTTTTGGCAAACAAATGACTTTCATCCACAGAGCTTCGCCACGCATTGGAGTTGTGCTGCACCGACCAGCAGCTGAGCAGCTCAGGAACAGATGGAGCGGCCAAGGAGGGACCCAATGGAGTGGCGGCGGGCGCCGAGGTCACCTGGGACGCGGGTGGAGAGGTCGCCAGAGTGGCTGGGCTGAACTCTGACTCAGAGACTCCTGCCTTGGCCCAGAGTCCAGGTGAAGCACGTGAAGAAACAATGGTCACGTTTATAGTACACGCGTGATTTACGCACGTGTGTCAAACTTGATTTGAAGCTTTCGTGACTGCAGGAATTACCCTTTTGGTTCTTTCGGTAAAATCACGTAGAAATAAAATTAAATAATAGAATACGACGTTTCGATTGCAACACAAGCAACCGTCATCAGGTGTGAATGAATGCACGCTCGGAGAGAGACGCATACACAGAGAGACAGACAAACACAGAGAGAGAAAGAGACATACACACAGAGATAGAGAGACACATGGGGAAGAGACACATAGAGAGACACACGCAGAGAGAGACGCACACAGAGACACACAGAGGATGATGACGGTTGCTTGTGTTGCAATCTAAACGTCGTATTCTATTATTTCTTTTCTTTCTACGTGACTTTACCGAAAGAACCAAAGAGTAACACGCGTGTAAGTTGAATGAAATACTGTAAAGGGACATTTCGACATTAATGTTTACTTACCCATTGAACTTGGAGTGGAGATGTGCGGCACTGTACTGTCAATCCGGCGGCCTGAATTTGATTCCTAACATCAGTGGTGAGTGATATGTGAACTGGTCCTGACCACCCCTACTTCATTAACGTGCACCGATCAGCATCGTGTGTCATCCAAACGTCCCCCATGACGGAGAGGCACGGTCATTGCTTAATCCAGCAGGTTATTGATGAAGGGCTATTGTTAATATTTGTGTTCTTAAATGTTTCTTTTTTACCTTATATTAGAAATGTAGAACAGAGATTTAACATTTTTGAGAATATGATCATTGAAGTGTCTGGCTTTATCAAAATCCATTCCATATAAGATGCTGTGTAAATTGTATCTGAAAATGCTGCACATTTCTTCTAAAATCAGTACCATTGCTCTGTGCATAATTTGAGTAAAATTTCCCACTCAACAATATCTTATTTCACATAGTAGAGACCTGATTATTATTAATGAAGCTTATTTGATGATGTACATTTTTCTTTAATACAAATAGTTTTTCGCATAGTGCACTGCATTTCATTTTGAGGTAAAACAGCCACATTAAAGGAAGGACACGCTCACTCATTAGGAGCTAATCAAACGAGAGTGGCTTTGCGGAATCAATTGGTTAGGAGAGCCAATGCTGTGTTAATGGTATTCGTGCATTAATCAGTGGCTGTTGCGGGAGGAATGACCGGGCATGACTGACAGGTTCTTCAACTTCGTCAGTGGACCCTCTTCCATATACGTGTCTGTTCATATTTTTATAGAGAGGGGCCTTCTGCATATTTGCAGCACCATATGGTACATTTGTAATTGTAGAAGCAACCTTTTTTATGCAATTGATTTGCACGAGAAGTGGCCATTATAGGTTATTTTGAATGTTCGTTGCTTCCATGAATTAAACTCAATTATTGCAATGGTCACATGAGAAACACACACATTCTTTGGGATGGAGCAATAGGTCAGTGCACTGCATTGTGAATTTGACTTTGATTCCTCGCCAGGGCTATCATCAGTCACAATGGATGTGTGAATCGGTCCAATGGCACCCCTTCATCAAAGTGCAATGACAAACGTGGTGAAATATGTTCAAACAACCCCCACGACTGGGACGGCATGGATGGTGGATGCCTTCATGCAGCAGTGGGTTTTAAATAAACTTTTTCACTTGTATAAAATTATTGTTTCATTTGACAGTTTGCTCACTTGGATTCCAATATATATTTTAACAAATTAGACAGGACAGCTCATGGATAGGCAGTAGTATATGCTTTAATAATAAAACAACTATTGACTATGCTGCTAGACTTTTTGATTTGCATTGCTTTTTTAAAGTACCACGCTTCAGATTCTGGGCAAATCAGATAAAACCTTTGGGAGGTTTACTCACCTGGCACTGCTTCTCACATAACCATGCAGGAAATATGAACTTTACAGTCTATACAACCATTAGGTCAAAGGTGGCAGAGACAACGGTGGCAACAGGCTGACTTGGGAGAGAGAGAACAAAATTATCCTCAAAGGAAGGATACACTGTGTTTGCAATGTGAATGAGAGCTGTATCGATGTATTCATTCTTTGAGTCGTATCGATTATGAAGCTCACGATACATGCATTGAATCCTGTGTGTGAACGTCAATGTATTTAAATTTTAAAAAATATATATTGTATGTAATACATCCACGTGCCCTCCACTTCAACCAGTTTAGGCCGCTACATTCACTACAATGTAAAAGAAACATTGTTTTTGAATTACCTACTCCATATTTAAAAGCAACTCGCCACATGCGTCATTCAGGCTTCATCATAAAAGAAAAATATATGAAGCAGACGCTTCAAGGAAAGTCCCTTGTTGCTTGAAACATCAGAGTACTGTTTATTTTGCTGTTGGAAGGCAGTGTTATTGCCAAATGCCGTTACTCTTCTTGCATTTGTGTACCAGTTGTTTAAAATGTAACCTGCAGTATACATCATATACATAGAAAGTGTAATGTTTATGGGCACCATTGCAGAGATTATTCTACCAATTTGAATCCCATGTAACGTGAAATGTTTTCATTGTAAGTTATAATTATGCTATCTTCCCAGGAAAACTTCGCTGAATATCAATACTTTTTCAGTCGGGTTCTGTACTTGGTTGTTTGGCGAATGCCATTGTGGCACATGGTGTCAATTAGAGGCGGAAAAAAGTCGCCCCCCCCCCCCCCTTATAAAAAGTAGAACCCCTCTGAACGAACACCCCTGTCAACGACCAATCGCTTATTGATGGGCATCCCTAGAACCCGATGTGTAGTGTATAGTGTAGTGTATAGTAGTGTGTTAGTAGTGTAAAGTAGTGTAAAGTAGAACCCATCTTAACGACCACCCCTATTAACGACTAATCGCTTAACGATGGGACATCCACAGAGCCCAATGTGTAGTGTATAGTGGAGTGTATTGTAGTGTAGTGTATAGTAGTGTAGAGTAGAAACCCCCCTCTTAAACACCGCCCCTGTTAACAACTAATCGCTTAACCACGGGCATCTATAGAGCCTGATGTGTTCACTTACGGACCATTCCCCTGTTAACGATGGGCTTTTGTAGTTACAGTAAATATTCATGAATGCATTGATTAACCATGTTTATTTGAATATTATGTGTTTAAGTTGTTAGTATCTTTATGTATTAATATCCATTGTTTAAATATTATAAAGTAAGTTTTTGGGGTGAAAAAGGTGTAACTTTTAATGCAATCTGAACGAATTAAGAAATTAGCGTGCATTTCCTAGTCTCGCTTAACGACCAAGTCACTTAACGATCAGTTTCGTGGAACCAATTACCTGATTTGAGTGGGAAACCAAAATCAGATTCACAGTAGTGATGTTGCAATGCAGTGAGGCAGTGAGAAACGGGCTGAAGTAAAAGCATTACTTGTTCTGTACAGGTATTAATGTGGGAGGAAACTGTAGCACTTGAGAAAACCCCACTCATTCGAGGAAGTAACACTTTCAGCCCAAGCCAACAATGCCCGATCTTCCCAGGTGGATTTCCACTCATGTAATAACGTGACTCAGCTCGGCTTAGCTTCTGAGATTTTATTCACTCGGCGCATTTCAACGTGCCTCGAGGGTGGGCATAACAACTTAATTGAAACAAGATTAGCTTCATTGCAATACAATTTACCTCATCGAACATATTAATAGCCAATAAACATGATATCATGTAGCACACGAAAAGAAGACTTCTCAATAAATTGAGCACCAACCCTTGCAATCTGCAAGACGTGAATTTAAAATCCCTCACAATGAAATGTTTACGGGCAAATCACGTTGTGCCACATCATAGGAAAAACTCTGATTCTCTACAAGAACGACTTGGCTGTAGCCATATAATCTAAGTCACACATATTCATTTAATTATCAGACTGCCCCATTCTGAACACTTATGAGGTGCCACCGTTAGGCTTGAGGTAATAGCGCTGAAGCCAGAATACCCCTCGAAACCGAACTGCTCCAAGAGAATACTTGGCATATCATTGATGACTATGGTTAGGATGATATGTAAACAATTATAATTATACGATACAGCTGTCTGTCAATCGACTGATGGATGTAGGGCTTCTGATGCCATTTGTTAGTTGTGGGCGGTGGTCTTTTTTACCATGCGTGTTAGTTGTGAAGGTGAGCTCAGGACCAGTTTTGATATCACTTGCCACTGATGTTATCCAAGGCTGGGAATGGAACGAAGGTAATCGGATTCATATTGCACTGTAATAACTACGATGCCACCTTCATTCCACGCATTGTTGTTTGGATGTATGTTAAACTTCTTTCGCACTGTACACAGCCAACTTTTGGGTTCAGCGGGGCTATATATTTGATCATATAAACATTAAAACCCGTTCATGTTAAGAATAATGATGAAAGTAAATAAATCTGGAACTGGCCATTCCAATTTCGCTAACCTTATCAATGTTCTGGGATAATTATTTGACTAAGTATATGAATCGGTAAAGTCACGTAGAATGGAAATAAAATAATGGTTTATTTCTTGGGACTCTCCTAATGGTGGGAAATCCCCTAGCAGTCACACCCAGTGCGACCTGGCTGATATCAATAAACATCACCAAGCTCTGCCCATTACATTCCCACCAGTGGCACAGGCCCAGGTGAGGCTACGTTGGCTGGATCATGTAGCCTGCATGCCCAGCCTAAACAGATTTTATTTGGCCCAGATAGAGGGGGCTAAATGGGCGCAGCACAGGCTAGAGAAGAGATGGAATGATGTGGTACAAGAGGATGTGGAGCTGAGTGGACTTACTGATGACTGATACCAGCGGTGCTACATCGGCCTCTGTGGAGGAGGCTCGTGAAGGATGCGATTGGGCAGTTGGAGACAATCACCTCCCAGCAACAAAGGAGGGCAGAGGAGCGGTGCTTAGAACAACGAGTGGAGCGCCAGGCAGCTAAAACACAGCAAGTTGGCACAGTAGGGGGCACAGGTAGTGCATCTGCCAGTCATTGAAGTCTTTCAACCCATGGCACCTGGGTCTGTCCGGTGACCTGTCAGCGGGCGTTTGACACTTCACGTGGCCTTAAAGTACACATAGCCTGGCACAAGCGCAGTGGTGACGTCACCGCCACTTAGTGGCGAATGGCGGTTGTTCTTGGTGAGATTTTGTTCCCCAAAATATATTTCACGTTCTCCGATTAGTCGAGTAAGAATCAATTATACTCAGTGTACAGACACATGTACTGCAATCCGAACATCCTCCAGAGTTTGAGCAGGGCCGAGCATGATGGAGAGCCCCTCCGTGTACCGGAGTGACACCCACTCTGTGTGTGCAGGGGATGTCGACAATGAGGAGCCGGAGACACTGCCATCAGTGGAGGAGGCGCCCAGGAAACCGCGGAGGAAGGACACCCCTGTGTACCAGGTCCCACCGCTGGCTCTTGGTACGGTCACAGTCAAGACGTGCAGACATGCAGCAACACATCTATCTTGAACCCCCAGACGCAGCGGTGTAATGATAACGTACGTGCAGGGGGAAGGACAACATAATAAACACAACAAAAAATTGTTCTAAAGAATTGAGTTTTCAATTTGGAATTTAAAGTGTATGCAGTAGCTCCTAGTGGTTTCCTAATATCGGAACGAAGGGCATTCCAGACGGTCGCAGAAGCGCATCTAAAAGCTCACGATGCAGTGACCGTCTTTGTTCGATGGTTAGCCACAAGCCACTGCGAGGATGACCGGAGTTTGCACGATGGTTTATGCTCCTTGACGAGATCAGCAAGGAATTGTGGTTCATTTGTATATGCGACCTTTTAGAATGATGTTTGTAAGGACTTCTCTACTTATGATCAAGTTAGGTTCCAGAGGTCTGTTCATAAGTCAATTTGTTGATTCCAAACATGTTGTACGATATGTACATGAAACACGGGGAATGGCTTTAAAAGTTGTATAATCTCCTGTAGATGTAGATGCCACTGGTTATTCATGTTCTGCAGATACCACTGGTTCTTCATGTTCTGTAGATACCACTGGTTCTTCATGTTCTGCAGATTCCACTGGTTCTTCATGTTCAGCAGATGTAGATGCCACTGGTTCTCATATTCTGGAGATGTCGATGCTAATTCCCTTTGGTGCTCGTCTTTTCTCTCGACCCTCTTGAAAAACTTACCAAGAGATGGTCCTTGCCCTCCAATGAGAATTTAGTCAACGATTAATGCCCCGTGTTTTCAGTGCCGGATTAAGCTAGTGCGGGGCATGTAGCGTGCCGCTAAAGGGACCCTAAATAAATAAATAAACACAAATATTGAAACACAAATTCTTAACTTGCACAGTAGAGTAATTGTGTATTTTTTTATTTGCTATACAGCCAGATAATACGACAAATCGCTAACCTTGAACACCCAGTCGTTCATGAAAGTTGAAGGCAGTATAGTACTATAGTAATAGAGCAAGTGCAGAATCACTTAACCCGAATTTATAGCTTGAAAGCATTTAGCGCGGGGCCCTTGAAAGTGCGGGGCCCGTAGCTACTACTACATGTAGCTACTTTTGCTACTAGGATAATCCGGCACTGCTTGTGATCCCAAATTAGTGATCTGTGGTGGCATAATTTGCATTTTCCAAAAGCTGGCACACAACTGTCTACTCTTTTCGAATTACATCAGGGGCACCTATCCTATTATGAATACACCCGGAATCATAAAGAGGCATTGCTTCTTTTTCATATCAATATTTAATTCTTAAGCTCAAAACCTGCGCGTCCGTATGTGTGTTTTTGTAAGAATGTATTTTTTTCTATTTGTGTGGCATGTAAACGGTTAATGTGACCACTGGAGCCACAAGTGGTCGCTTCATTCACTAACATGAACTTCAGTGATAGCCAATGTAAAAAAAAATGTTTCTCTTGAGCATGTGTACACATTCTACTATATATGCATCTGTGTATACTGTATGCAGAATGTGGGAGCGGTCGTGTAGTCGTTAGTACGGCGCGCTATGAACCTGGCAACCCGAGTTCAATTCTGGCTCACGGCCAACACCAATTTTCTGAACCGGTCCTGGGCCTCCCCTAGGTCGACTTAGACTCAAATGAGTACCACTGGGGAGACAAAGGCGGCCGGATGTGGTGCTGGCAACCCACCCCCTCGTGGTCCGTGCCGGCCTTCATCTCGCTAACAGCACTTGCCCCTAGAGTCTGTTCAGGCTAAACGGGGGATCTTTGGTTGCTGTTGTTGTACAGCAGGTGCAGGCAGAGTGCAGCGACGTCCCAGGGATGTGCAGCAGCAGCAGCAGCAGCAACCTGTCCCGGCCATGCTTGAGGAGGAATGGGTCGAGGAGCTGCTGGTACCCGAGGAGACACTGGTATCAGCAAAAGTTAACGTCCAACCATCTGTGCCATCGTGAGCTGCGGGGGGGGGGGGGGGACTTTCTCGGATCCAACACCACCACTACTACCAACTTCAGTTCGGGGCCCTGAACTGAGACCTTGGAGGTTTTGTGCTGGTCTCAGGAGATTTGGTCACAAGGGTAGGACAAGGGCCCTGGTTTTCATAGGTCAGCATTGGGGCTTTGAGTAAAGTGTGGGTTATGGATGCCAATGAATGCCTCTCCTCCTTACTTGAATCTGTCATTCTCACCTCTCCCTACCCTGGCAATCTCCACTTAGACCATCCCTGCTGCCAGTTCTCCGCTGATTACAAAATTATTTTACGGTTCCCGTGAACGAAATTCTTAAAAATTAATGTCCTGATAGTGGAGGCATCCCAAACTCAGACCAAAAGTCATGCCTACCATGGTGTGGCTTTTCATGGGCACAACTAATTTCCGTTGGATCAGAGGTTATCAAACTAGACTCAATCTCCATATTCTCTGACATTCTCTGATGAAATACAAATTAGGTCACTTAAATCGAAGTATTGGGGATGTGAGGACTGCAGTTTAAGGACAGTTTAAATATGCTATGTACTGTGCTTTGTATTGAAATGTGTCTGTCAATTGAGAAACGGGATGTGGGACTTACGTGGCCAAAAGTATACGATAACTGGTTTATAGATAGGTTTAGCTTCAAACAGTTTCTTTATTAAGTGGCAATGTTAGTGTCAATGTAGTTATACTGATGAGATGTTTCAGTGTACCGTGTTTTAAATATTCAGTGCATGATATATTTAAGGTCAGCTTTGCCTACCCACAAGAGGTTGCGGTTGATGAAAATGAGGCACTCAGTGTATTGTAATGTGTCTGTGCAGTACTGTAGTTTACTATTTTAAATGTATGCACAGATAAATAGATAATGAATATATACTGATATTAAGCTGTTGTTTGTATTGGTATCATTTATCTGTTGAAAGTTAAACAATTAGCACTTCTACAATGAAACAAATAGAGCTCTTTGTCAATCAACTGCTGGTCATGCGGATTGTTTAACAGTAGTTCACCAAGATGGCCATTTGCAAGTTGAAGACAGGGGCCTAGGACAAGTACAGATATCACTTTCCACCGATGTCGCCATGACTTACTATATTATCAGACTCAGGTCACTGGGTTGAAAACGCAGTCTCCTAGCCACTGCATCGCCACTCCCCACTGCCCTTTTACAATAACGCTATACCCTGGTCAGTAGAATTTCACCCCTCATTTCTTGCTCCAATAAAACAACCTTTCTCCACATCACTATTTATACAACATATTGAGACGCTTTCATATCTAGGTTTTTTTTTACAAATTCAAATTGTGCTCTGTTGTAAATCTGACGGGGAAACGAAACACATTTAATCACTTCCAAATACATAGCAACAATTGGCCGCTGGAACCATATGGAAAAGCAGCCTCCAAAATCCGGGAAAAAAATGTTATTTCATCGCGGAATTTCCATATTTTCATAGTAATGCATGCACAATGGTGTCACTGATTGCAGAGAATACATTTAATTACATGTGCAGAGGCACATGGGGAAGCATCTGAGCGGTAAGGGTTGACATGCAAGAGCTGTAATGTGACGTGGGGAATCGAGGTTCAAATCCGACTGAAATTGTGGAATTAATCTTCTTTGGTTCTTTCGGTAAAGTCACGTAGAATGAGAATAAAATAATATATTGATAAAATAAAATAACACAATAATAACACAATAATAATTTATTTTCCAAAATCGCCTCTGTAGACTCGGTAATAAAGTGGGCACAATGCAGTAATTCGATTGATGAATTGCTTGTAAACTCCCTAACCTTGTCACTGCTGGTTCAAATTTAGCAATCGCTTATGAATATATCCTCGAGACACACAGCTCACACTGGACCCAACACAGAATTCGCAGGTGTTGTGCCCATTAGGCCCGCCACGTAAATTGCTCCCCACAACCCCATTTTCATCCTTGGGCATCCCATTATTCACAATGAGGTCCATGAATGGGGCTGGACCTGTGTGATACTTTGGTTTGGTAACTTTCCAGTTCCAAAATGCTTCTCTTCCTGCTTCTTTCCTCGCACTTGTCAGCAATTTAATTCCCCTCCAATCATCACATTTCCCCCGGTTACACGAGGGGGTGGGTGGCCAACACCACGCCCGACCGCCTTTGTCTCCCCAGTGGCGATGTTTTACACACCATACCAGGTACTCATTTCTAGGTTGAGTCGACGTAAGGGAGGCCCAGGACCGGTTCAAATAATCGTCACTGGTGGTGGTTGCCGTGCGTGGGAATCGGACTTGGGTGGCCGGGTTCGTAGTGCAGCGTGCTAACTGCTACACTTACTCCCCACATGAAACTGCCTTTTGTGTTTAGTTTGCTGTCCTTCCCCCGGCACACCTCCGATTAGCACGGTTGGCTACGTACGATGCGAAAGAGGTTTAACGTGCATACATACATACACCACAAACAACAGACATACAGTTGGGCCATTCCCGTAGTGTCCGGTTGTAGCTCTGCTTTTCTGCAGGCTACCTCTTGCGTAGGGGGGGGGGCTAGATTTTAGGAGTGTAACGATTCACCTCACAGGCGATTCAAAACATGGGTCACAGTAAAAAAAAATGTCTGTGAATGTAGCGGCCTCTTAGCAGCTGCAGAGGTGTCCATGTGAGCTCATGACACACAACGCATACAGATCACGTGTACGCAAACATGAGGTTAAAGGATAAATATTACTGTAATCGGTGCATCTTTACACCCCTGTCGTTTTACCCTCAAGTTTAAATGCCTGTGATTTATGTAAAGTTCTGAATGTGAATGTCGCCAAGGTCACAGTTCGGTGTTTTAAGAAGTCGATGTTTAAATGGTTATGATTCCCCCACAAAGCCATGCTAATTTAAGAATCATATTTTATATCGTCGTAATTTTATTGAAACGTAGTCGGTACAACTTTAAAAACAAGAAACAAATTCAGAGCTCTTACAGTAAACACCGTGGTGCTTTTTTGTGTTCATTAAACAAAACATGAAAAAATGCATTTGCTGTGGCGTTGTATACCGATGTTGTCAAATGTACTCGTATATATTCTAAACATAATTTAAAAGTGAAGAGTATATTGGAATATACTGTATATTATTTCGTGTAGTAAACTGTCGGGCTGTACATAGACCTTCAGCTTCGTTTTAACACACACACAACATTTAATTGTACTCCCCCCCGCAAAGCGAAGATCGCAAAGCCTTCGTATAATTGATTTATTTTTGCACAAAACTCCTCTGAAATATGCACATTTGTACAGATCCTGCAGGTTGTGCTTTACCTTGCACGGGTCCCTTTGCATGACGCAATTTGAAGAATAAAAAGCCACAACTACAACCAGAAAGACTACTAGGCACTTGAAATTAGCACTACTTGGCGAGCAGCAGAAATATGTTATATGTTTTTTGGGGTTAGATCGCGTAAATATATAAATGTGTCGTTAAACCCGCCACCACCCGACAGCCAATTAGTAAGGTTTGTCACGTAAACAGAACATGCCAAATCGTCACTAGTACAGCACTAACCGGTGTGTTGGAGAGCAAATCCACAACATTTACATTCTGAGTACGACGTTTCGCCAGTAATTACAACTAGCTTCACCAGGCGACAGCCAGATTTGTGGAGAAATCCTCCTGTTTCGTTACTTAAATAGAGAGGTGTGATGACGTCACTTTTGAGCCCTTCACGTTCGAAGGCGGGGGGGGGGATAATGAATGCATATAAATTACAGGTGGCGGGTTTAACAACCCATTTATATTTGCGCGATCTAACCCAACAAAACCTATATTGATAATATTGGTCGCGAAAGCCGTATGTGTTCAACAGCAGAAGTATGGTTCCCGAAAGACACGTACACATTGTGACCACGGGGGATGCCAGCTGGTGGAGGTGGATGGAGAAGAGGTAAATGATTTATTGTTCAAACGTGACAATGTACGAGCATTGCAACATATAAACACGTGACTTGTTCACGCCACAACATTACATCAGCATAAGCTGCAATTACAAAGGTAAAAGTGCAGTCCTGAAGTCGCGTGCTCATATCACCGCTGGCAGAAGGGCCTCGGAATAGAGGCAGCTGTGGAGAGCCCCTCTCGAGGGTATTTGGCCTACTCTTCCACACTGGCCGGGCATCATAGCAGAGGTGGAGTATCCACAGTTTTCCCTACCACACTTGATCTGCCGATTGTGGTAACATACTTTTTTTTGTTCAGTTTTATTTATACTGCTGGGTGGACAGTTGGGGGGGGGGGGGAGGTTAAGAATCCTGCACAAGTGATTGACAACTCGCGCGCCAGGAGGATGCAGCAGCTACACTGCTTTTATGTACTTGTTATTGCAACTTTATGACCTTTCCCGACTGGATATCTGTGCAAAAAGAGCTTCATAGCTCATCGGATTTCTCCAGGATAGAGATTCTCATTCGTATTATCTTACCTCTGCACTGCCAGTGTGCCGACCACTGCGTCACAGCAGCATTGGCAATTATTAAGTGCACCAAGTCGCACGGGTGGAACCACACCTGTCTCTTGTGCACACTTCATGCTGAATGGGGCATATATTTCACAACTGGGGCACAAGATTAAGAGTTCAATTATGCACCTATTGATGAGAATGTTTTTACGGCAGTGTTGTTGTTCCGTAATTTTAAGAGGGGGGGGCACCACTTTCACCGATCACAGACATCATCAGCGTGAGGGCCGCCACGCATTTGAAACCATTGGGGGTTTCACAGCAGCAGCAGTACGATGATGATGATGATGGGTGGGGGGGGGGGTGTTCACACGTTGTGTATCGTCGGGGGCCGCACTAAAGGCCACCAGGGGCCGCCAAGTGTCTCGCTGAGCCTTGCAATGAAGAACGCAAAACAAATTCTTGCCGTGGTTTTCCCACCTGATGATGATGATTGCTTGTGTTGCAATCGAAACGTCGTGATTTAATTGATTTTATTTTATACCTACGTGACTTTACCGAAGGAACCAAAGAGTATGGATCCCTGTAGTCACGAAAACTTCAAATTTAGAAAGAACGCTGCGTTACGGTGTTTCCACGAAATTGGGGTGGGGTGATGATGACTGAGGTAGGATACTACACTCTAACTAGGCAACCAACTAGGCATGGATTCGTGAAATAAAATAGGTTATTATGCTCATACAACACACGTATCAAATTATGTATGTGATTGAAGATGTTATTAATGGAAATTACTGTACGTTAAAATGACACGTCACTTAGATTTGGGTGAATACAGTAAGCAAAACTATACAAACGCGTTGGCAATAACGGGACATCAACAGAAAAGAATTATTGAATCCAATTGAGATTTCGAATGGTAACAGTTCTTTATATCGCTGGGGAGTGAATTGTTATAGATCTAGTACTTACTATTATACGTGCAATTCCACTAGACACAACATAATTTTAAATAGATAAGCTAGGGTCGTTACCAAGTGCAATATGCATCTCTCGATATAAAGCTGCCTCAAGGCTCTCTGCCAAAGATATAAATGATTAAATACTGAAATTCAGCTGAGGCTGTGCTTATGAAGAATAGAACACAAGAATTAAAGAAAAAATTGCACACTATAATTTCATGAGAATAAATAATGGATGCAAATCACAATGTTTGCACTGTATTTTTTTTCCCTGACGGGGAAAGAGTTATCAAGGTGCACTGTTCAGGTCAGTAGACAATTTGATCAGTTAACAAAAAAAAAACCCTTTCATTTAGAAACATTGATTGAGGATACTGCATACGATGGTAACACAAAGCTATCAACAATGTTTATAGTTGCTGTGTTATTGTGATTTTTTTAATGTTAAGTTCACGCACCGATGATTGTGGGTGCGAGGTCAGCACGCTTGGCTGGGACCTGATCTGAGAGCAGTTGACCTTGTTTCATTTTTAATAGGGGCACATTCAAAACGGAGAACTCACGAATTACAGTTACACGGCATTGGTGTGACATTTGAACAGAACCCTCAAAAACACAGCCCACCCTCCGTACATCCTGCGACGAATTTAGACACTGGCATACATTTCTATCTGACCTGTGCAGCAGGAGCTGAAAATATCCACACCTTGTATAAGCACAATTCTAATATAAGCAACACATACTTACACTGGTTGGGGTAGTGGGGGTCGGGAGGAGGTAATGGACAACTTCTGAGAGAGGTGTAGTGGCTCGGGGATTGAATTGGGCCTAAGGTGAGCGTATCAGTATGAGTGGGATATTTTTGGGGGGAATATCTAGAGGGGGCGGGTGGAGGAGACAGCGAGACAGAGGGTGTGGAAGGTCTTGGAAAGAAGGAGGTGATATCAAAAGGTGTGGAGCGGGCATTTGGAGCTCAGAGGAGCTTGAGCACGCACATAGGGCTTTTGTCCGTCGACACGAGACCGAGTCTCAGGCCAGAGTGTGGTTTTGGAATTTTGTACTCGGGTGAGAGAGAGGACTCCTACCGTGTGTTCACTGCAAGGCCCCCCCACGGTTCGTGTTGCCTGGTGGTGGCTTCGAGTGGGTGTGGTGGACGTTTGTGCTAAGCCTGGGGAGGATATGACACAAGCACACATTGGACAAAAGACAAAGATGGCCTTTCTCTCAAAGGGGGGGGGGGGGGGGGGGGGGGGGGGGGGTCCTTATGTCGACTGTATCTGGTAATACGGACCTAAACAGTCGCTAGCACTCTTTCAAACCTGACGTGAAAAAATTGGATATCGAAAAGAAAATGAAGATCACAGCACAGGAGTAGCGGTCTCCAAGCGTCTCCCCCTCCCTCCCTCTCCCGCCTGATGGCACAGGTGATGGAGAAATCGGAGGGCACCGCACGAGGAGGTGAACACGTGCGACGTTTTGGAAACGATCTTTGTTTCCTCCCTTAGCATCGTAAATCTTCCTTTAAAAAATATGCTGAAAGCAGAAGACTCGTGCTGGATTACGGCGGTCACATTTGCAAATGTGATTTGCAAACTTTGATCGTTAGCTGTGTCGATCATTCAATATTGTGCCATTTTATTGAGGGACTACTACTGTGAGGCGTTATCTCGGTATGGTCTGGGACTGTGTTGTTGTTTTTGCTGCCTTGCCCAATCTTGATCAATTGGACTTATATAATTATTTTAGTTCCTATTTATATTTCGTAACTCGCCTACCATTTTCTCTATGTTGCACTCGTATTGCATTATTTGCTGTTGTAACTTGCTCAACTCCATAGCTCATGGGATTCCTTCTGCAGTCCACATATTCTGATTATGATTGTGAAGGGACACCACACGGCACGCCCCACATCCTTCGCGCCGTGCCTCCGTTGCTGCTCGCCCAATTACGGAGCACGGAACGATTTACCCCCCCCGCCCCCACCAGTGATTTTGTGAATTACCTCGATGTGGAGTCACGATTCAACTCGATGATGTTTTACTTTGCTTCCATCCGTTACGGTGCTCCCTTTCGTATTAATGTTTTTGTTACCGATGCGCTTTGTACTTTTGTCCACATCGTGAGTATTGGAGCACGGTCGTATCATTTGCATAAATTGTATTGAATGCATTTCATGGGCATTGTTCAAGGCACGTATTCTACATGCAACAAAACATTTCTTATTACTATTTCTTGGTGCACAATTTTATTTTTTATATTGTTATGCTGTGAGTGTAAGTATCCATTCAGTACTCCCAGAGCAGTGTGTATCACCCTTTTAGGGAATGGTCTGCAGAAGTTCAGAGGGAAAAAAATATTTGATCCCCTGCTGATTTTGTACGTTTGCCCACTGACAAAGAAATGATCAGTCTATAATTTTAATGGTAGGTTTATTTGAACAGTGAGAGACAGAATAACAACAACAAAAATCCAGAAAAACGCATGTCAAAAATGTTATAATTGATTTGCATTTTAATAAGGGAAATAAGTATTTGACCCCCTCTCAATCAGATTTCTGGCTCCCAGGTGTATTTTATACAGGTAACGAGCTGAGATTAGGAGCACACTCTTAAAGGGAGTGCTCCTAATCTCAGCTTGTTACCTGTATAAAAGACACCTGTCCACAGATGCAATCAATCATTCAGATTCCAAACTCTCCACCATGGCCAAGACTAAAGAGCTCTCCAAGGATGTCAGGGACAAGATTGTAGACCTACACTAGGCTGGAATGGGCTACAAGACCATTGCCAAGCAGCTTGGTGAGGTGACAACAGTTGGTGCGATTATTCGCAAATGGAAGAAACACAAAAGAACTGTCAATCTCCCTTGGTCTGGGGCTCCATGCAAGATCTCACCTCGTGGCGTTGCAATGATCATGAGAACGGTGAGGAATCAGCCCAGAACTACACGGGAAGATCTTGTCAGTGATCTCAAGGCAGCTGGGACAATAGTCACCAAGAAAACAATTGGTAACAAAAACTTCTGAAGGTGAGCACGGAACTTGAGGTGGTGGTGTGGCCAGCATCACAGGCAGTGCTGATGCACACACACCGTCACTGTATTTATTTTAGGCTGACCAAGGTAGGGTCCATTGAAAGTGTGTAAGATAGATAGAAAAATAAACGAGGGTGTTGGGAGTGTAGCACGGTGAATTAACTGCAACGCACACACACAAAAGACAAAGATCCCCCAATAGCCTTAAGATATTGTGCTGTTAGCGAGCAGCTATGAAGGCCGGCACGGCACACGAGGGGGTGGGTGGCCAGCACCAAGCCCGGCGGCCTTTGTCTCCCCAGTGGCGATGTTTACACACCGCACCAGGTACTCATTTGAGGTTGAGTCGATCTAGGGGAGGCCCAGGACCAGTTCAGATAATCGTCACCGGTGTTGGCCGTGAGCGGAAATCAAACCCAGTTCGCCAGGTTAGTAGTGCAGCGCAATAACCGCTACGCTACCGCTCCCCACACACACATACACAAGCGCACACAAAAACCACACTTAACTCTGAGACGTTATGCGGTGTCTTGTATCCATATATGAGCACCTGTGGCTAAAAACGTAAAATCTCAAAATATCTGGGCTGATTCATCACACAACGGTAGAGATGGAGGAGTAAATTTTTACGAGGAAAACCAGCAGGGGAGCTCTGCTAAATGTTTCTTCAGTAGACCTGATGTTATATTTCCTTCAGCAAAAAACGGTGGGATTTCGACATTATCTATATAAATAAACAGCTTAATCTGTACGTCTCAAAAACCTCTCGGATACCTCCCGACAAAGTAGAAAGCTGAAATTTGGTACGTATGTAGTTTTTTGGACACAAACAGGGGAAATCAGAAAAAGCCGAGATTTTCCATTTGAAGGCCCCCAAAGCTCGACATTGTGACCCATAGCAATGTTTGTGAATGACATTCAGAAACCGTTCAAAATGTAACATTGCGGTTTTTTTCGTTTGATAGAGCGTTAAACAGCAAGTCATGAAAATTTAAGCGAGAACAATTGTTCTATCTTTTATTGTTTTTGAAGTTATTCAGATTCAAGCGATTTTGAACGAAATAAATACGCATTTTCTCATGTTCAAATCTGAATTATTTGAAAACGGCAAACGATAAGAATTTTCCCTCATACAGCATTAACTTAATTAGTTTTTGTTCTTTCGAATAAAAAAAAGAATGGAATCTTTAAATTAAGCAGTTTCCGATGGATAAGTCTTGAAATATAAGAAATGAAATGAACTTGTCGACAATGTTAGTTTTTTTTGCGAAAAAATACACATTTTTTGAGTAGTTGTTAATGTCAGATCGTAGATAAAAATTGTAAAAATTCATATCACCTTTATTATAATTATTGGAAACTTTTTGCCTGGCGAAGACAGGCTTCATGAACACGTATGGAATAAATGCGTTTGATTAAATTACCGCTATACGGAATTGCACAAACGCTACAATCAAACGGAAATGTTGCAAAAGTCAGCAATGCTGAGTGTCACTGCTTTATTATGCACAGCAACTTATGAAAAAAAAGTATAAAGAAATAACCTTAACAAAACAGAACACTAAAGTCACGCCGTATTTTTGATGATGTGTGTGTGTGCTTCATTTATACTAAAAAAGCATTTACTATAAAAAATCGAGCCCTAAATGTCTTGGTTTTTTTTCGATTACGCCACAGAAACCCGTTGTGGATTTTCACCTCTTGATGTCAGAGCGACCGTCGCTATGGTGCCACACTCATGTCAGTCAACGAATCCACGGGCTGGCTGCAGCATAACAAACTGCGAGTACGCATCCTGATGCCCTCCTTGTTGTCCGGCCAGAATGCATTTCAAATGTCAACATGCTTACACTCTGCAAAGCAGCCATAATGCAAACGGTGCTAAAACAGCATTTGTTTAATTGTTAGTGCTGCTCAGAAGCAAAGTCCTAATACAGCAGCCGGAATATGACAGGACAATTTACAATGCGTGTGTGTGATGCAAGCGAAAAAAAAACATTTATGTTAGATGGAGTTAGGATGAACGGAGATAAAGAGGAGTGGTTTTGCAAACCTTAGCATCTCCTCGCAAGTAGTGTTTATGATTGTTTTACTTTTCTATTTCACAAACTAAAACCAATCTAGATAATTAAATACACCACACGTATGCTGTTGATATTCTCTGCAATAAAACATGATTTTTCAGTCACATGCGTTGCCCTGCAGTACATATAACATTTTACCTTCACATGAGCATAAGACTGAAGGGAACATTTTATTTTTTACCAAATGTGATTCGTGGAAAATCAGACCCATAAACAAATTCACAATGCCATTAATTAAATAATGGTGGACCTTTTCATTCATTTCACGGACACGACTTTTTTTTTTAAATAGACCAATTGATACATGTTACGTTTAATTGTAGTCCTTTATGATTTCAGTGTTAACTGCAACTCTGTGTCAGCTTTAACACCAACAGGGTTACAGCTACAATTGTGGGCAATGTTCCAGCACAGATGTCAGCCATCGTACACATTTGCACATGTAACAAGCTACAAAAATTATTGTCGAAAAACTGACCCACGGTAAAGGGATTTCTTTGTACACCGGTCTGCGACTCAGTTCAGAGCTATGTAACGTGGGATCCCCGGTTTATTGGTTTGATTGTCCAGTTTGAGTGGAAAAGGCTGTTTCTGAGCTTGCCCATGGTCATGACAAACAGTCAACCCTGTGAGCATGCCCATACATTGTTGAAACAAAACGACTGTTGCTCCCTTGTGCTCGCCTCGCTCCCCCATCCTCTCCTCCCTCTTTCCCACTTGTTTTTTTCACACTATTTTTGCAACTTCACATTTTACTCTTCACACTGTCAGTCCTGCAAAAGACGAAAACATTGGCACAGATTACAAAACCACATCATGCACAAAGCGGCCAACTTAGCAGACGTGCAGTGAACAGTGAAGCCACCTCGCAATTCCAGCAGATGCGAGTGGAGGAATAAAGCAACCTCTGGGGCATTCGCCAACCAAAAATGTGATGACAGAAAAACGCAATAACAAAATAAACATCTGCAATGTTAAAAGCAACAAGCATCTAATTAAACATCGCAAGATAAACGCATTGACTGTTGAACCATAACGCCAACAAATTTCAAGATATTTGGCCCAACATGATCCCCAGTGAGAGTGCAAAAAGAAGTTGATATGGTGTGGGTCCTACGTGGGCCAACTTGGCCATCAGGGAATCATGGAATCATTCATCCTGCCAGTGATGCTGCCATGAAACGTGCAAAAAAGTGCAACTGCACTGGGGCCCATGAGCCGTCGGGGCCCAGGCTCTGCCTAATAAGAGGGAAGAGTGCTGGTTGTTGGTTGGGGAGGAGGGGGGTGCCTGGCAGTAATGGCTTTATGCGCAGGAGGGGGGGGGGGAGTACTCGGGTTTGGCAGCAATGTCAAAGTTCTAAAGTCGGGTTGCTGTGATTGGTGGGCGTGGAGGTTAACCGGCTCACGTGACACCCGAGGAGCCTCGGGCACACGCCGTTGGGCAGACGGGCGCACGTGAGGCGGGAAGACAGCGATTGGACAAAGGGGCGACACCCGATGTACTTCTTGTACCAGGGCCTATGTCAACAATTCTCAACTACTGCGCCACTTCTTTAGCCACACCTGAGTATGGGGATGATGGTGGTGGTGGTGGTGGCGTCAATGGTCCAACAAGACGTTTCCTTCCACACTGGTTCTTAACGAAGCCTCACCTGTACGCAGACGCAGCAGCATAACATCCCCAGCACCATTACCATCACCACTGTGCACAGTACTCACCTGGTGGCTTCCTGTGCACGGAGCTGCGAGGCGAAATGGGGGCGGCATTTGAGGGAGGTTGAGCAGGTGGTGGCTCATATGGTGTGCGCATGTGTGTGTGACCATATCTTTAGCACGATGGTCAGTATGGGTGGGCGAAGGCATGGGAGCATAGATGCACAGTGCGCTGCCCTCCATTGCCCAGCACGCATGCAACTGCAGCAGCCTGTCATCCATCCAAGCATTAACAGGGCTCAAACCTGCTTAGCTACTAAGAGATCGGGCACATTCTGGGTGATGTGGTCAGAGACCCACCGAGTGTGCAATGCTCAAACATAAGTCTGTAACAAATCCGCCCCCCACCTCCTGTTATGATAATTCACGATTCAATTCAGGTTCTTGGTATAAGAAAAATAACCACTGTGGCGCATTGCAACATCTCCACTGGCTGCAGGGCTCACGTGAGCTCATGAATAAAACACGTACAAACAACAAACGAATTGATTCTTACTCCTGAAATTGCATTCACAGACTGAGAGCAAAACAAACACATTTTAATAGATGGCTAAATCCATAACTACACCCAGAAACAAATTTCTTATCGAAAGTTTTCCTGATCGCTAGTAGAATGCAATAGGAATGCGACTAGCCACATGCATGGTGATAGGTATAGAGATGCAGTGTGCCAGGCACATAAATATATATTGGGTTGTCGACCCAGACATACCCGGCTGAAATAAAGCCCTGGATACACCCATACTCACAAGGAAACCTTGAGAACCATGTTCAATCATGGTGCTCTGCAGTATTTATGCACTGAGACTTATGCACGCAAAAAATATAACCGACGTAACGTATGTGTATCACACACACACACACACAGGTGGTTGTGTGCTGGTGAAGCAAGCCTGTAGTCCTGAGACATGAAAGTGGGGTTGGTGGATCACATTGTGATAAAAAAAAACAACTCCACAAGAGAGAGAGAGCCAAATGGCAATGAAGTACCTGGAATACTCTCATGAAAATGACACTTGGGGCTCAGGGAGGTTTTCCTAAGGGAACAGAAGAGTAGTTGTTTTCCTGCACAATATATGGGGAGTGGGCAGTGGAGGGGGGGGGGGTGCACGAACGTGAGCAAAACCATGAGGGTAACTACAGAACACGACACACACCTGTCTCCAGCATTGTCGAGTCCTCTTTGTCCTTCGAATCGGACAACACGGACTCTTCGGACGTGAGCGACGGCTCCGACTGGAGGGACACGTCCGACGAGGCGGCGACCTCGACGTCATTCGCCCTCACGGCGCGCCCACCCTCTCGCCACCCTGCATCCTCATCTGCAAGTCTCTCTCCGGGATCTTCTCCCATGTTCTCCGCTGTCTCGTCATCATCGTCGCCACCATCGTTATGATCATCATCGCCGACGCCATGGTCCTCAACGCCACCCTCAACTTGGTCGCCCACGCTGCCATGACTGACGTCATCAGCGTCATCGTCAGCGTCATCGGCGGAGGCGATCTGTCCCAGGGCAGCTGTGGATTGTCGTCTGCGGTTGTCCGACTCCCTCCGCAGCTCATGTGCCGGCACTGCTGCCTTTTCCTCCTCCTCCTGCAGGGGAGCTTCCTTGTCATCTGTTGGAACACCGGCTCATGAGGTCAAATTGGAGCTATTCAAAACCATCACTTTACCCTACATTGCGGGGATCACAAAAAAGATCTCCAAAATCTTGAATAGACACAAGATCCAGGTCCGATTCAACACATTACATAAAATCCGTGATCTGGTTCCGTCTGTAAAAGATGTGATTCCGGACATACAGTACCCTGGCGTCTACAAACTAAGTTGCCTCTGTGGTAGTAGTTACATTGGAGAAACCAAAGGACATGTCTCGGATCGCATCCGTGAACACAAAGCAGACCTTAAGCACGGTAGGACCAACACCTCGGCCATGGCAGATCATTGTTATAATTCAGTAGGCTCACGTGACATTGACTTCTCCAAGACAGAGGTTCTCTGAAAGCCATCTGGCTACCATGAGAGATTCGTTCATGAGGCTATCCACATATACAAACACAGAGACAATTTCAACCGAGAAGATGGATTCTAGGTTAGCAATCATTGGAAAGATTTTATAAACCATTTCGGGTCTTAATTGATTGTTCACGCTTACGGTGGCTTTCAGACCGCATCCATTATTTTCGTCCCCCCCCTCCTCTTTTCCGAACATACATGGACTTCTTCTTTGGTTCTTTCGGTAAAGTCACGTAGAATGAGAATAAAGTAATACATTGATAAAATAAAATAACACAATAATATTCATGGACTTGTCCATCTGAATAACTGCCAAATCTCTCTCCGTGGTGCAAACGTTAAAAATAACCGCCACTTTTTTCTAAATGTTCTTGCTGTGGTTTTCACACCTGATGATGATTGCTTGTGTTGCAGTCGAAACGTCGTGAGAATTATATTGTTTTATATTTTTTATTATTTTATTGTTTCCCTTCTACGTGACTTTACCGAAAGAACCAAGAACATGAATCCCTGCAGTCACGAAAGCTTTAAATCAAAGGTATAAACGCTGCCATTATTGTCCAGATCAACCTGCACTTGCATCACAGCTCCGCGGACCAACTGGGGGACCGTCGCGTACCGCTGCTGGTCCGAGGGCCGCACTGCTGTAAACTGAACAATGTTAAACATAGAATTTAACATTCTGCTGCCTCCTACTGCGTGGACCACGGTTTACTTGAAAGGATCTTAAAGATAGCTCTGTGATAGCCACTTTAGTAAACTCGTCTCGAACACAAAGGGTTGCGGCTACCATGTTTCATGACATAATGCTGATAGTACAATTGGAACATTTCTGGAAAACAATCTTAAACAGGTCTCTGCAACAACAAAATATATCTGGCTTTGGCGCCTCTGCCTGGTTACTAGCTTTGGTGGCGAGTTGTTAACTCCCTCGCCTGGTATACAGGAGGTCGTGGGTTCGATCCCGACACTGATGCCTGGGCCTTACCTAGTAAAATAAAATTAGTCTAATAGTTTATCTTCTTTGGTTCTTTCGGCAAAGTCACGTAGAATGAGAATAAAATAATACATTGATAAAATAAAATAACTCAATAATATTCTCACGACGGAAAGAACCAAAGAAGATGAATCCTTGCAGTCACGAAAGCTTTAAATCGAAATTTAAGTAGTTTAGTTTAGTCTGGGTAGCAGGCAACCTGCAGTGGTGTTCGCGGCAGCCGTTGCAGCCGCCGTCGCCGCCGTCACCGCCGCCGCCTGCTCCTTCCAGCGCTCCTTGTTGCTGCTGAGGCAATTCTGCCACAGCGCGCGGAACTGGAGGAGGTCGACGGTGCAGATGGAGGTGACGGAGCCGTCGCTCGCCGCGCGCTTGCCGCGGTGCCACTCCACGGTTGCCGCGCTGTGTGGAGAGCGGGGCGCACTTCACCGGGCGGCGCGTGAGGGTGCAGGGAAGCACGCGTGCGTAATGACCGCCCGTCAGTGCAGAAACAAAGGAGACCGACAGAGAAAGTGCAACGAGAGCTGTAAAGCGGCCCAAAGAAGCGTAGGACAGGTGCACGCCAGGGAGTGCACCGAGAGGTATGAAGAGGAACACGCGCATGGATCAGGCAATGAACGCACATTAGAGACGTCGTGTTGACGGTCAAGAACAGGGCTTGGGTGGGATACATTGCTCGAAAATTATGATGGCCGATCAGTGAGACTGGTGAAAGAATGTGCAGCCAAAGCAGGAAAACACTCCCAGAAGGATGGCAATTGTGTAGATAGCAAGGTAAGATCGGCTTATTTGCAGGAGCGAGATGGATTGTGGCATCACAGGACAATGCGGGTTGGCGATGACGTGCGTAAGCTTTCATCCAGCAGTGGCTAGAACATGCTCATGAAAATTATGAGTATGACAACGATAGAAACAAACAGCTTTTAATAAACCAAATGTATGATGATTGTCAATTAATATATTACAATTCAGCCATCTGTCAATAGCTGTCTCTCGTGAGCAATAACAACCAATCACCAAGTTACACCTGCCTGCTGTCTGCCTCAGGTCAAGAAACAAACCTGGATTTGGAAGAACATAAATGTGGATTTTCCTATTGGTCACATTCTGTCCTACTTTTTGGTTCTCAAGTTAAAGCAATTTAATACTTTTTTTTTATCGTACACGTGTCAAGAGAATATGTTCCCACCAAATATTTGTTGGCCCTAGATACAAATATTAATCACTTATAAGAACCAATATCATGGTAAAATGGTTCCCAAATGCTCCAGAATATTGGTTAACCTTTCAAATATCTGTACCACTTATTTTTTGTAACAAAGGGACCTGAACCATAGTCCGGGGCTACATATATTCACGAGAAACAATATTTGTTCCAACCGTCAATCAGTGTAATTATTTAAATAACGGTATACGAGTGAGTTATGTGGTGGGCGTGCGGTGATCCCTCCACATTTAGAATAAACACGCGTTCAGAGTGTTCGTCTGCTGCAAATGTCCACGTCACAATAAACCACTTCGTTGAGCTACCACTTGTGGCCAGGTCGCTTCTGAAAAACAGCCAACATAGCTCAGTGGGGCCTTACCTGGTAAAATAAAAAAATTGCTTTCGTTTAGTTTAGAATACCTGCCGCGACGTGGCACCCCTGGTGTGCCGGCCCTGGCCGCTTCCTCTGCCAGGGGCACCACCACCTTCTCGGCCATGTCGGTGAGCACGGAGAACGTGGGCTCCACAATGAAGTCCATGAATCCTGGCGCCGAGGGAAGGAATTGAGGCACAGAGGAGCAGAGACGCAGACGTATTTTCATGAGCAAAGGTCAATGGACGGAATGGATCGCAGGAAGTGCGATGGCACCAATTGGCGCAGCTATCGAGTGCACAGGCGGTGCAACTACATCGTGGCCCGTAGGCCAAAAGGAGCCCATGCTATGGGCTACGAAGAGGGGGGAGGGGAATTGAATGAGGGGGGGGGGGTGTCCTCATTTCATCCCTTTCACAAGGGCCCATGCCAACGAGACAAACGTTACTGGATGGTGCACACATGTAACCAACTTTTCTCAGGCAAAAAAAAATGCTCAACAACTAGCTTCCCAAATATAGAAGCAGGAAGCTCCTATAACAGATTTAACAGACCACTGGAAGCTTTGCGGGATAAGGTTATTTTTTTTTATTACGGTGCAGGATGCGGAGGTGATAAAAACAGCGATGATACAAACAAAAAATCCTATCCACATTGAGCCCACCATTGGTATCTTAATCCTTAAGCCACTACCATCACTCTGAGTGTTAGCATGAGCTGATATGAGAAACTATGTATTAAAAAATAATTGGTCAACATTAGCGTGAAGCACAGTGCAGCATTCATGCACATGTACAGTCAATTGAATAATGGCCCTGTGCATTTTTTGTTGCATTTCTCGTTTAGGTAGCGATGCCTCATGACTAGGCACTGAATGTTGCATTTACAATAATGGGAGGTTTTGTAGGAGTAATGTTCCATGATGCATTGTCTTATAACCTGTTCCAGCGTTCTACAATAACAACATTGTGCCCGAATAGCCCCTAATACCAGCAAATTGCCGTGGCTCCCGCGCAGGAGTGGAATTAAGCCACGGTTTTGTAATTGCGTGCGACACGCGCAGGCAAATTAAACAGAGCACGGTATGAAAGCGGAGGCCATCTCTAATGCACCGGTGGGTGCTGAGCGGTCACCAGACCTGCCGTCCTGAGAGCCTGAATAGAGCCCTTGGCTGGAAAACCCTGACCTGGAGCCACACGGCAAACCTTTGCCAAATGCTTCCCTCCCATGTGCCATCTCGCCACTCCCCCTGCATAGGATTTGCTTCGACAAGACGGGCAGAGCGTTTCAGGGCTGGAAGCGTAGAATTGATGTGGCTTTGAGAATACCTCTCCCTTTAATTAAATGGATCGGTGTCAGTGCAGCATAAGTGACAAACAGATTATGTGGAAGCAGAGCATTGGCCAAGGAAGGGCGCCATGTCGTTTAGATACCTCGGCTGCCCTCTGTTGGTGAATTTTCAAATGCAGGATTTTGTCTATGTGTGGGTTGGTGAGCAAGGAGGCTCTGTAGTTGTGGAGGTGGAATGGTTTGGACACCGAGCTACTGGATTTGAATGGTCGGGTGCCTCTGAGGCTAATTCCAAAGTGAGGGCAGCGAGCCAGAAACTCGGTGATCCTGGATTAAGTTTGTGTGAGACCATTAAAACCCCTCAGTCACTCAATTAAAACGAGTTTGGCGTACCTGATGTGAGTGCTGTCAAAAATCCTTGACTTATTTTGCACCGTGCTTTGAAATTAAATGTAACTCATTCGTTTGGGTATTGTTTGTACAAATACACCCATAGGATGATATTTATCACATGTCCCCAGTTTTAGTGAAATTAACTGTCACCCACTGTGAAAATGCCGGTAAGGATAGAATATTTCTATATTTCTCTAATACTGAGCTCTCACGTTAAGGAATCTGGGGTACCGACAAAACAACCACGCATACGAGCGGCAACCTACAATACTGGTATCCCCTGGCCACCTTGCAGCCCCAAAGGAATCAACATAGCATGCGAAGGGCATGGGTTAATGTTTGTGAAATGGTCAAGGGATAGAATTAGCTTGTAACTATTTTAATACAAGCAGCGTTAGGGATTTGATGCGTGCAAAAATGAATCGGCACGCATTGATACTCCAAAGACTGTATTCGGCAATGCAAGGGTCCCTCCCCCACCTTTCTCTCACCCTGCCATGCATTCTTTAGCGACGGGGGTCACGCTCAACGTCAATACGTTAATACGAATGGCAATCTAAAACGTTCAACGATTAAATAGCAGGGTTTGATTTGGTCATGAGCAGATACTGGAAAGGGGGGATAGGAAGCAGATTTGCTTTTGTTCTACAAAGTGGCTTGCCCTGTTTACATTAATTAAAAAAATAATTCAGTGTGGCCGTTTTGACTGAATTGTAAAGTGAAAATTAATTACAGCACCAAATAGCGCTGGACTACAATCTGCAAATGTTTTAGGAAGAAATAGTGTTCACCTGGTTCTACATGAATAAGCCATGCAGTTAAGAAACGTAAGTGGTCTTGGGCAGGACACGAGCAGGGCTGATCAGTGGTCTAGACTAACGTGTTGACCAGTGGTCTAGACCAGGGGTGGGCAAATTTTTTGACTCGCGGGCCACAATGGGTTCTAAAATTTGACAGAGGGGCCGGGCCAGGAACAGATGGATGGAGTGTTTGTGTGAACTAATATAAATGAAATCTAAAAATCATTACATGAAAGGATTTGGCCTTTAACAGGTAGCAAAACATTTATTTGCAAGGCAATTTAACAAATTGCACGAACATGAACAATACAGAAACATGTCGTAACTCCCGGTCAAAATGCGCCATCTAATGGGTAAATGGGGGCATTACAGGAGAAAGGTAAAATCTAATTTAATAATAATAATATTTGGACAAGTTCGGCGGGCCGGATTAAAAATCCCAACGGGCAAAGTACGGCCCGGGAGCCGTACTTTGCCCATGTCTGGTCTAGACTAACGTTTTCACCGCCAGAGGCCAAGGCACGGAACACGGCTGAGAGAAGGCCCAGGTATTGTGTGGATCGCTAGATCGCAGGACCGTGAAATTATGGTGCCAGCTTGAGGAGGCCTTCAACCGGAACTGGAATGATCTTGCCTGATGATGATGGTGATAAGTCATAGAGTCTATCCTCTCTAAATTGGTATATTTTTTTTATATATACCAAACTATGTTTTAACTACAGTATTAACTTCGTAATTGCAAGTAGAATGTGATCGACGGCTCTTTTTTTTTACTGTGAATTGTGTGGGCATGGCTTGCATACGTTTGCTTGCTTTGACAATTTGTATCTATTGCCGATGAGTAGCAAAGTCTCTTGTCCAACTCTTAGCTCTTTGTGTTTTGGTTGAAACTTCAGTGTTTTGTGAACTCGTTGATCCAGGGCACCCTTTGCAAATGGGACGTGTTGTCTTCCTGGGTTCTCGTCTGGTAAAATGAAAATCCGTCAATCATATCAGTTGTACGAAACCAGTTTCACTTTCTTCATGTAAAAGCGATTTTCAATGAGTGATTAAACAATGATTTAAACGGATTTTTGTGATTCATTTAAATGGTCGGTAGGATTTATTAGTGATTGTCAAGACTGTTTTTTTGTTTTAACTCAACACGAGTGTGGTACAAAGCGCCGATCACAGAACGGAGAGGGGAATAAAAAAATCCACGAACAACAGCAGCCCGAGTTCGGCGTGGCAGGGCTTAATGAAGGGTGTGTCATAACTGATTTAAAAAATAAAATTAGCACTAAGGTTTACTGCTGCGACTACACGCTACGGTCAATTAGAAGTATGGATTGGAAGACAGAACATTCGTATATTTTTTACCAATATTCATCCGAGTGAGATGAAGCTGAAGAAACACGGATTGTACAATTTGGGGTTGTAATTCACAGCTCTGCTTGGCACTTGCGTGGCTGAACATCTTTAACATCTGTTGATCTCAACTGATTTACTTTTAAGAATAGGATTTTCCCTTTTTTCTGGCAACAAAACTGAAACCTTTTTTTACAAGGATTCATGTCTGCATTAACCACAATACCTGCAGTCAAAATGCAAACAAAAACATGCTATGATAATATATGCATTGTCCTTGAAACTGATTGGTCCACACCAAGGGACGGCTTTCTTTTGAGCCTCGACCCAATTGGTGCTCGACCAGATGACGCCAAAAGGCGTACATGTGTACTTTGATAGTGCATTGTCTTTGAGCTGTACGCCTTTGCCGTCTTCTGGTCGAGCACCAATTGGGTCGAGGCTCAAGAGAAAAGCCGCCCTTGGTGTGAACCAATCAGTTTCACGGACAATGCATATATTATCACAGTGTTTTTTTTGCATTTTGACTGCAGGTATTGTGGTTAATGCAGACATGAATCCTTGTAAAAAAAAGGTTTCAGTTTTGTTGCCAGAAAAAAAAGGGGAAAAATCCTATTCTTATATTTTGGTACTGGCAAAGGAGGTCTAATGATAATTTACTTTTCTTCTTACATTCGAGGCAGGATTGTACACCACTAAGATACAGACCTGAATTTGAAAGAGTACAATTGTAGTGCCATAGATGGAACGGTACCTCGTACCATCAGGGGAGGGACTGCAGTGCCAGCCCAAGAGAGGAGGGGCTGCTGGGGGCTCAGGATCTGCAGACAGCTAAGCCCCTCAATGGGCAAGGGGCATAAAAGGGGACCTCCCCAGCCGATCTGGACCAGTTGAAGACCGAAGCCGAAGACCAGCTAGGACCATGAGACCCCTAGCCCCGCTGTCCTTATCAGGGCCGGGACTCTGTGCGGCTCAGTGGTGAGACCCTGGGAACCCCTGGGCCCGACGTCCTTGTAAGGGCCGGGTCCAGTGGGTCAGTGGTCGGAACTCGCACCCTGGCTAGGGCGAGTTAGAACAGCCTCCCCCTAGGCACCCATAGCCGGAGGACCCTGAGAGTAGTCCTGTGTTAGGGCACGTTAGCCCGGAGGCAGTACCTCACTAGACAGTGGTGTAGGAGTACCCTGAGTGTAGTCCTGTGTTAGGGCACGTTAGCCCAGAGGCAGTACCTCCCCAGACAGTGGTGTAGGAGTACCCTGAGTGTAGTCCTGTGTTAGGGCACGTTAGCCCAGAGGCAGTACCTCCCCAGACAGTGGTGTAGGAGTACCCTGAGTGTAGTCCTGTTAGGGCACGTTAGCCCAGAGGCAGTACCTCCCTAGACAGTGGTGTAGGAGTACCCTGAGTGTAGTCCTGTGTTAGGGCACGTTAGCCCAGAGGAAGTACCTCCCTAGACAGTGGTGTAGGAGGACCTTGAGTGTAGTCCTGTTAGGGCACGTTAGCCCAGAGGCAGTACCTCCCTAGACAGTGGTGTAGGAGGACCCTGAGTGTAGCCCTGTGTTAGGGCACGTTAGCCCAGAGGCAGTACCTCCCTAGACAGTGGTGTAGGAGGACCATGAGTGTAGCCCTGTGTTACAGGGCACGTTAGCCCGGAGGCAGTACCCTCCCTAGACAGTAGGTGTAGGAGGACAGTAACGCTGAGTGTACTGGGACTGTACTGCCGAGCGAGGTGTTTTAATAAATAGTGTTGCCTCCAATAACCGACTCCGACGTCTCCTGAATCCACAACACTACACGATACCGCTGTGCACCGTTTAGACAAGAACAAGACTTGGACTTCAAAGAGTACACACTTATACAATTAAAACAGAAGCAAACGGAAAAGAGTTAACCTAATATGTCCTCTTGGACTTATTACAAGCACTGTAAGTATATGAACTTACAGCCGGGAACGCCGGAGTTGCCATGCACAACTGATATTCGCTCTCTATCGGACAAAGATTGTCACTGCATCACACACTTTCAAATGCACTTCTGCGGTCACCTGGAACGCTCTCCGTTCCGATATTAGGAAGCCACCGGAGCTATGCACTTTTAATCTAAATTGAAAACGAATTTCTTCGTAACTGCTTTTGCATTTAGCTTGTTGTCCTTCTCCCGCACCTCCGGTTAACACAGCTGGCTACGTACGATGCGAAATAAGTTCAACATAGTACATACAGATGGAAAGTCACGCCTTGTAGGTGGTTCATTTGAAGGGCGTGATGGCTCAAGGGTGCTGCGAGGGTGAATGCGCGCGTGTGTAATGAGCGACTTTCCACGACACGTCGCGTTGAGGGTACCCTTCTTCATTCCACGCACGGCACGGCACAAGCCAACGTTATTGGCACACACTTTGATGTTACATTCTACAGACCGCACGCACACACACACACACGGCTGATCACACGGCTGGGTTCAGCCCGTCCGCTCCCGGTCTTCTCGCCGCTGGCTGACGGCGTGCCGGGGAGGGCGGTGGAGCTTTGCCGGACATCCGCCGAAGGCTGCGGTGGCTCCTCTGCCTTTGGCTGCAGCAGCTCTCTCGCTATGTTTCTCTCAGCAGTCCCGCCTGCTGTATTTGTTCACCAGAGGATGACCGCTTGCGTTGCGATCGAAACGTCGTGAGCTTTTTTAGCTTTTTACAATTTTCTATCGACGTGACTTTACCGAAAGAATCAAAGAATGTGAATTCCTGCAGTCACGAAAGCTTTGAGTCGGATTGGATAATGTTTATAATGGTGCCTGTACCCGTGCTACCCTTTACCAATCAGTCGATGTCACTATCTCATTGCACACGTACGTATGTACGTTGAACTTCTTTCGCACCGTAAGTAGCCAACCGTGCTAATTGGAGGTGCGAGAGTGGGTGACGAGGGCGAGTGAAGACTCACCGATCTGTGACTGGGCGACCATCGTGGAGTTTCGGTCGCAAAGGGGCGAAAACGGGAGGCCCAGCTTAGCTTCACGGTCGCCCTGCCCAGACCACGGCAAAACAGAGGGCCAACAACTCAACGTCTATGAACATTTTACATCATCGCCACGAGGGGGCGCTGCCACACCTATTAATGCTAAACCACGCTGCAGTGATTCAGCACCACGGCCAGCTAGCTAACTGCACAACGCCCGCTTGTCAATGCAACTTCACCGGCACAGCTGATTATGTATGCATGTCGAAATTATTTCACACCGTACGTAGCCAACCGTGATAATCCGAGGTGCGGGGGAAGGACAACAAACTAAACACAAGCTTGATGAAACACAACCTTAATGAAAAAGATGGTCTCTTTAATCAGAATGCAAGAATAAGTCATGCTATCACAATCAGGTTATACGCTGATGATCAGCGTCAAAAAGTGGTAAACTGGCTCAGAAATGCTCAAAGGGAAATGATTTAAGTACACGCTGTCTAAAATCACCCGATCCAAAAAAGGTTTGATGAATAAACGAGCATTGATGTTCTTTGACTTTGTGTACGCGAGACCCTTGTCTGTGCGTTGTTCATGATTCCATCACCCAACCACAACGGCTGCACCACTCCTGGCTATCGGTTCTCATGGCGGAACGCGTTCATAAATATTCCCCAGACGTCTCAACGTGCGCCTTCAATTCGCCGAGCGGGGGGGAAAAAAAAAAATTGCGATTGAAAAATTCCAACGGACAGAAGTCCGACCGAGATCAGACAATTACACTCGGCAGGAAACCCCCTCCGATCTTAAAAAATGCCTTTTCTTGAAGTTGTGGTTTGTAACCCGTTATGAATTTCGGACTGAGGAGAGCGACTCCACGCGTGGCTTCGCCAAGTTGCGACGCTGATGGACGAGGCACCGCGTATCGATCCTGTCCGAACAACAACAACAACAACGCCACTTGTCTCCCGTTGCCTCGAGCTGACATCCATTAACCTCGCCATTCACGGGCGCGATAAGTACACGGCGGTCACTTCCCCCCCCCCCCCGTCACGACCTGAGATGCCTCCACAGGTCTCCCCTGCGAGGTAGGAAGGGACCATATGTCTGTTGTAAACTCAGCAGCACAGCTGCATGGAGTTGTTTCCATGCTTGAGGCCATTATCTAGATCCCTTTTCATGAATGATCTAGCCCAGGAGGATTGATATTATAATATTAAGTTATTAATACTTATTATAAAAATCAATAAACATTGGAAATGATGGTCCACACAAAACTGCATTCACATTGCACGTGTACATGCACAGGCTTTTTTTTTCACTGCTGGATTAAGTCCTCACACTTTGCATATTGTGTGCGTTATTTTACCATACTTTCATCATTCTGGTCAGTCTGAGTTGGTGAAGGTGGGTAGCATAGATATAAACTATAGTTCGACAATGGGTTTTACTACACTACCCTCTGCTGCCCACCAAGTAGCCCCCAACAGCAGTGGGAGCAGCAGCAGCAGCCTAGAGCAACGTAACCCTTTCCCATTCCGCTGAGGTACGTGTATATCATCAGTTTTTCTTACGATTTTGTTCCGATGACGTACCAGAAGAAAAAGTCAAATGAAATAACTTTATCGGTACCTAGGCTTCCACTAGGCCATGCGGGAGGTTGTGTGGTATGGTTTGGCGCCAGCTATCGTAGAGAGTGCGGTCGTGTCGCGACAGTTCTCTGCAGTGAGTACAATGTTTTTTTTTTTTTAAACAACGGCGCTATGCCTCTCTAAATAAAATGAAGGCTGAGCCGCTTGGGCATTCCGATATTCAGCTGTGAACGGGACCCACCCAGCAGTCATCTCCATCACCCATATAAATACTGTCCAAACTCAACCCGGCTTGGTTTCCAACGTCTGATGAGATGGGGCACATTCTGGGTGATTTGTTCATAGGCTGCATTCACTTTACAGCGATTTAAATAATTTTCTTAGCGAATGTATAATAACGTCTCGACAATTTTCCTGCTGGGCCATATTTCTGCCTGAGAATGTCCTCATGCGATCACATGAATAAACGTCGCTCACACCACTGATATACTCTTCTGTATGTATGTGGAACTTCTTTAGCACCGTATGTAACCAACCGTGGTCATCGATTGGTGACATACGGTGAGCGGCTGAGACGCTTGCTATGTCTGTTTTGTTTCTGTAATTGGCTCACGGGAGACATTGACACCACTAGCTTGATGTCTCTATTTCCGTGCTGCTGAGATCGCTGATATGTATGCGAGGCTCAAGGTTGATGTGCTTGTGTTGAAAAGTATAGCAAGCTTTGGTGCAGTGGCAGGCACAGGGCACGACAATGCTGGCTTTGCACAACACCCAGTGGGCGAGTGGAATTTGAAATTTGATTATCAGCACTGGGGAGACAAAAAATATTTAAAACTATCTAAACTATTTTATATTTTACCAGGTGCGGCTCACTTTTTTCAGAAGCAACTTGGCCACAAATTATTACTCTGCAAAGTGGCATATCACGTGGACATTTACAGCAGACAAATAAACGCATGTTTCTTAATGTGGAGGGGAAAACTGGAGGACCCAGAGACAAATGCACGCAATCACGGGGAGAGAGTCATATATATACAGGCATCAGGGTCAGGATCGAACCCACGACCTCCTGTAAACCAGGTGAGGTAGTTAACATCTCGCCACCGTAGCGCCCCTAACAATATAATCAGAATCTTTATTTAGACTGCAGGAGTAATCCGATGAGCGATGCAGCTCTTTTTCACAGATGTCCAGTATGAGCGGGTCAGCAACTAGGGGTGCCACGGTGGCGAGATGTGATGACAAAGGTGGCCACTCTTGCATTGTGCTGGCCCCACCTAACAGGTGCATGTCAGTAGCGCTTCTCTTGATGAAGACCCCTTGTTTTTCTTATTTGTGTTTAGTACAAGTGTATTAGGTATTTGTAGCATCTAGGCATAACTTGAGAGGAAGAGGTGAGGTGAGGTTTAGGAATATTAGATGTGTATGTGTGTGTAGCGGTTAGTGCACTGGGCCACGAACCCGGCGACCCGAAATTCGATTCCCACTCACAGCCAACACCAGTGACGATTATCTGGAACGGTCATGGGCCTCCCCTAGGTCGAATCAGCCTCAAATGAGGAGCTGGTGTGGTGTGTAAACATCGCCACTGGGGGGGCAAAGGCGGTCGGGCGTGGTGCTGGTCACCCACCCCCTCGTGTGCCGTGTCGGCCTTCATAGGCGCTCGCTAACAGCACTTGCCCCAAGAGACTGTTAAGGCTATACGGGGGATCTTTGTCTTTGTGCAACAATGACATTTCCACATGCTGCTACAGAATTTGCTTTCACATTGTATGGTGGCACTTAACATGGATGGGCACAGTTCACAAAAACTGATATGTAATTTAGAACTTTTATGTTAAACACAGACACTTCCAAATCAGAAACATGTCGACTGGAGGAATCCGATGAGCTACGAATCTCTTTGTCAGATATGTCCAGTAAAAGGACGACGTTGCCAACTTGCTCAGTCCAATAGTTCACGGTATCTACATCCCCCTACTGGAGGCGCCTAAGTGGCAAATAGCAATCGAGCACAATCACACGCAAGTGAAATAGCACCGCGAGATCCTCTTTGGATTATAAGGTGCACGTCTGGCCCCTTTGCTTGTTTTTGAATATCCCCTGGTTTTAACAATGTGTGTTCAGCACGACAAGAGTAATACGCAGGGGGCGAAGGCAGCACGTGTGTAGCAATGGGAGAGCAAGCTGACAGTGGTTGCAGAGAAGTGAGCTTTCTGCCACATTACAGCAATGTGCCGGCAATTCCAATGACCTTGGCTTGAGCCGAGGAGCTGGAAAATGTTAACGCTTACAAAGTTAACCTCTGGAGTGCCCCATGTAAGGCATATTCCCATTTCCTTCCATGCTCTCTGATCGAGCCACTCCTTGCAAACATCTAAATTGTTGAATGCACCAATTCACCACAGACTACAAAGTAGTCATTCGTCCTCCGATAAAGCACGGTTGGCTTCGTATTGTGCGGAAGAAGTTCAGCATACGTACATATATCTAGACGATGAAACAAAAACACTGGTGAATTATTGGCGAGCAATGCTACCCAGGTTGTGCTCCATTGTTACCCACTCTGATGAGACGATGCATTGTTCTGATTCTCTGACTGGGCTTTGAACTTATGACCTCACGAAAATGAAACGATTTGTTCCGAGCGACTAAAGCTATCACGGGAGCAATAGGGTTCGTAAAATGCGTATGAGTCGGCGGGCATGCAAGCGTCTGCTTCAACAGAAAACACCCAAATATTCACAAATGTGGTCTTGGTGGAATTGTGATGGCTGTAGGGAGGTGACTGGACACTGACATTAGGAAAGTGACATCATGCATTCAAAAATGCTTATTTTTCATGGCGTTTGAAGTTAATGAACCTCAGGTGCCAAGTGTCACATATCTTTAATCAACAACTGCCTAATTAAATTCACAAAAAGAATATTAATTAACAAAGCGTCCCTACATTAAAAGCATCTCACTTTGCTGCACAAGATGATCGCACACAAATAAGTAGTGCATATGAACTAAAAAGAAATAGTAAAACGAAAACACAAAGGTGTGCACCAGTGAACAGAGCAAACTACACCAAAGCCGAGTTGTCCTATCGCGTGCAACGACTGAGGCAAACGGCATCTACAAGGCATGCAACCAGGCGAAGAACAGGAGGGGGTGACGATTGTGATGGAGGTTGAAGGGCAAAGAGGTGGGGAAAATTATAGAGTGCTGTTGGAAATAACTATTCTGAGGCAGCGAAAGGACTGAAGATGCCCAGTCTGGACTAACAGCGGGGAGGTAATAAGCAGTGTAGACGATCGGGCGGAGAGAAATCCAAACAGCAGGTGGGCGCAGAAAAGAAGGAGCGACCTCCCAAAATGTTCAGGCTGATTTTCACCGACGAGGATTCTTCGCGGGCGGCAATGGCTTCCTTTCGTTACCGTGACCATTTCCCTCCCAGTTAGACACTTCGCTTGTGGCTATTACGGCGACGGCGAAGCGCGAGACGTTTCACAGCAAACGAACGCTGGGGAAACGGACCTGTCTAAAGAACTCCTCCATGAGGGCCTCGGTCCAGCGCTGGTGCAGGGGCCACTCCTTGGTGGGGTGGCTGATGTCGCCAGCGTGCAGGAGCAGCGACATCGCCTTGGACTTGTCAATGCTGCGGTGGTGGTCGGGGAGGGGGGGGGGACAGGCAGAGCACATGAGCACGCACGCGTCACGCACGTGTCACGCACGCGTCACGAACGTGTCACAAACGCGTCACGAACGTGTCACAAACGCGTCACGCACGCGTCACAAACGCGTCACGAACGCGTCACGAACGTGTCACAAACGCGTCACGAACGTGTCACAAACGCGTCACAAACGCGTCACGAACGTGTCACAAACGCGTCACGAACGCGTCACGAACGCGTCACGAATGCGTCACGAACGCGTCACGAATGCGTCACGAACGCGTCACGAACGCGGCCACACGCTCTGGGAGTTGGCGGTGTCCGACCAGCGAAGGGTTCCCGGTGGTGATTGGCTATTAGATTGGAGCTGCGCAGTTATCCGTTTGTCTGCAAATCCTGTCGTGAATCACTGTCGTCCGCGCTAAACTCTGACAAACGCTAATCAACACATATTATTGGTTCTTTCGGTAAAGTCACGTCATATAGTAACAGGCTTTTACCCTTTTTATCTGGCACCAAAACTGACAGCTTTATACAAGGGATCATGCTTGCAATAACCACAACACAAGCAGTCAAAATGCAAATAAAAAGAGACAACTCTGATAATGATATGCACTGTCCTTGAAATTGATTGGTCCACACCCGAGACGGCTTTTCTAAGAGCCCTTTAGTCTCCATTGGTGTTGGACCAGAAGACGCCAAAAGGCGTACAACTCAAAAACAGCGCACTATCAGAGTATTGAGAGCTCGGGGTAAGCCTTTACATTATGAGACCTCCTTTGCCAGTAGCAAGATATAGTAATAGGTTTTTACCCTTTTATCTGGCACCAAAACTGACACCTTTATTCAAGGCATCATGTTTGCAATAACCACAACACAAGCAGTTAAAATGCAAACAAAAAGAGACCACTCTGATAATGATATGCACTGTCCTTGAAATTGATTGGTCCACACCCGAGACGGCTTTTCTAAGAGCCCAGTCTCCACTAGTGTTGGACCAGATGACGCCAAAAGGCGTAATAATGTAAAGTCACGTGACTTTACCGAAAGAACCAAGAATATGAATCCCTGCAGTCACGAAAGCTTTAAATAAAAAAAAAAACTAATCAACACGTTTAACTATTGAAATTGTAAGATTATGTTAAAAGCATATAATACAGAACTCGGGTTCCTTGTCACCCACATATAAATGAATATTTTTGTCTATCAGCCAACTGTATTGGCTTTCCAAAACCAATATTATTATCAAGCAACAAACCAAATCTACGCAACTACCGGCTACTCAGTACTGAGCCGACTATGTGCGCACTACTGTACTGTGTATTTACAGATTCCGTCATCGCCACAATCACCTTGTTGAAGGGAGAAAAACTGGGACTCAAAAATACCAAGATTTTTGTCTAAATCTTTTTGGGTACTCTCTTAGCAACATTTCAAAGTATCTGGTAGTGGGTGGGGGGGGGTCTGGAAACCAATGACACCCACACTGGCTGCGCCCCTGGCACACACACATGCACACAAGACAAAGATCCCCCTTATAACCTTAACAGACTGTTGGCGCAAGTGCTGTTAGCGAGCACCTATGAAGGCCGGCACGGCACACGAGGGGATGGGTAGCCAGTTGAGCTGAACAATTAATCGATTTCAAATCGAAAACGCATTTTGAAACAATGCGATTAGTAAATCGCAAAGGCTGCGATTTTTTTTTCGATTTGAAAAGTCCTCTAACTTTTTTATGGGAATTGTTTTATGTTGTATTATAACTTTAGTTATTTAACTTAACAATTGTTCTATGTTTGATTGTTCTTAAAACATTTTAATAAATACATGTTGGAAGCAAATTCATATATTTTAAGTTCTCATCCTTGCATGAGACTATATAGAGCAGTTCATATTTTGATGGTATCATGTGGTAATGCTCAATCACATGTTTTAAATCTATTACACAGTGAATATTGAACTGAAGCTTGAATAATTTTTTTTATCGCAAATCAAATCGCAATATCTGTCAGAAAAATCGCAATTAGATATTTTCCCCAAATCGTTCAGCCCTGGTCGACAGCACCACGCCCTGCCGCCTTTGCCCCCTAGTGGCGATGTTTACACACACTGCACCAGGTACTCATTTGAGACTGAATCGACATAGGGGAGGCCCATGACTGGTTCAAATAATCATCACTGGTGTTGGTGGCCGTGAATCGGGAATTGAACTCGGGTCGCCGGGTTCGTAGTGCAGCGCTCTAACCGCTACACTGCTGCCCGTTACAGACGTACACACTCACGCACACACGCAGACATTAGCATGGATGTGTGCATAACCTTTCGGGCTGTTGCAGGGCGCTCTTCATGGTCTTGATCTGCTGAAAGTGACACGACATGTCCGTCGCCAGAACCATCTCGACGACCAGCGCACGCAGCTCTCTGTACAGCAGCACAAACGACACGTGTGTTAAACACGCAAGGACACAGACTTCAATCTTCATTCTCACTCACAAGCGTGGCACAAGTGCTGTTTGTGAGCATCCATGTACGTCACTTGAGGTGGGATTGGCTCAACTCTGGTCGTTTTTTTAAATTTCTGTATACATCGCAAAACCCGAAAGAAAAAGGGTCACAGGCACGGGCGCATGCAGTGAGATGGTAAAAGAGTAATGTGATAACCAATTAGGCATCATAGGACGAAGCGGTGGCACAGTTGTGATCAAACTGGTCTATGAAACTGGGCGCCAGAGTTAAATTCCAGGTTCTTGGCTAACATCGATGATATCTCAACCAGTCTCCCCTCTGTACCTCCCCCTCAACCCGCATTGACCAGCGTGGTGACGTACGGTCAAACAACCCCCACATCTGACACGAAGGAATCCTTTAAGCGGGAGTGCATTGACTCTTGAGCAGGCACGATAAGGTTGAAAATAATAATGATGGAATCATAGGTATGCATATGTATTATTGTATTATTATATGTACTATTTGTAAAATAGAATTTCCCAATGTAACTTCAGTAGCCATGGGAATATATATTTGGTGAGTGGGACAAAGCTTTGGTTATGGGGTGGGTGTGGAAGGGCCAACCCTCCTGGGCATTCCCAATGCAGCACATTCACCACAGAGCTGTTGACACACCACACGACAGGCACACATTTTAGACGCCCAAGGTAACCGAACATCACAGCTTATTGTCGCGCGAATGCCACGCCGATTGAGAGATGAACACGCGGATGCCTCGCTCACTCCATCAAAACCCAATGTGAGGCCCTGGCATCTGGGGACGGAGCTCCAAGGAATGAATGGATTTAAGATCCGTCCCAACGGTGACGATGTGGGGTGTTGGTGGTGGTGGCGGTGTGGGATGGCGTTTTGAGGTGGTGGTGCGGGTTGGTTCGGTGGTGGTGCTGTGGTGGTCTGATAGGATGACGGTGTAAGTTGGCAAGCATATTGAGATGTGGTTGCACTTAAGGCCCCTCATAAAAGTCTCTATCAACCTGATTGCTGCACTACTCCATAGCACGGCCACTTTGCTGGAGGAGTTCGCTCCGAGCGGATCAGTGTGTGGACTCTATAAACTATAAAATTAAACACATTTTTTTCTTAACGGGTAAGGCCCATTGAGCTATTTATCTCTTTTTCAAAAGCGACCTGGCCACAAATGATAGCTCAACGTAGTGGCTTATCACGCGGAAATCTATAGCAGCAGCCAAATACTTAAAATGCACATTGGTTTTTAAATGTGGAGGGAAAAACCGGAGGATTCGGAGAAAAACCCTCGTGACCACGTGGGGAGAGAGAGAGACACACGTAAACTCAAAATATACTAGGCGTCAGGGCCGGCATCGAACCCACGACCAACTGTATACCAGGAGAGGGAGTTAATATCTCGTCACAGTGGCACCCCAACCTCCAGTCGTCCTTGCTGAGGTTGATGAAGATGTTCATGTCATCGTCCTGCATGAGGCGGTAGGCAGCGCTCACGTGATGGTTCTCCAGCACCGCGCGGTCGTTGTACAGCAGAGCCACGTCCGAGCTGCACCCGGGCACACGACAACATGAGCGCACAAATACATGGGGACACGAGCGCTACGCATGGATCGTGAGTACAATACATAGGCATACAAAGACTGACTGGGCAAGTGCTACTCGCGAGCACCTGTGAAGGCCGGCACAGCACGGGATGGGATGGGTGTCCAACGCCACGCCAAGTTGCATTTGTCTCCCCAGTGGCGATGTTTACTACACCGCACCAGGTACTCATTTGAGGCTGAGTCCACCTAGGGAAGGCCCAGTACCAGTTCAGATAATCGCCACCGGTGTTGACCGCGAGCGGGAATCGAACTCGGGTCACCGGGTTCATAGAGCAGCGCACTAACCGCTACACTACCGCTCCCCACCACAACGGACACGAAGGCACATGAGTACATGGGAACATGAGTTTGTGGCCACGTGAGTACATGGCAACATGAGTTTGTGGCCACGTGACTACATGGGAACATGAGTTTGTGGCCACGTGACTACATGGGAACATGAGTTTGTGGCCACGTGAGTACATGGGAAGATGAGTATGTTGGTTCGCGCACGAGTGCATGATCACATGGGCACGTGAATACATAGGCACGTGAGTATGCGGACGCAATATTAAATGGGAAAAGATGTGGGATTGCGAGCACACACGGTCATATGCATGATTACATGGACACAGGTTTCAAGAGCACTTGGGACACACAGCCACAGAAGTACATGGACACGCAGATACACGGGCACACAAGCACGCAATCGCACGAGTCCATGCGGACACGGGCGTACGGACACACGTGCGTGCGTGAAACCAGAGACGTGCAGATAATTAGAATGAAAATGTCACACAAAGCATTTTGTGTGACTGACATAGAGATGTTACATTGTTTTGAAAGAAAAAAAACATTTCGATTTAAAGCTTTCGTCACTGCAAGGTTTCATCTTCTTTGGTTCTTTCGGTAATGTCACATAGAATGAGAATAAAATAATAAAATAAAATAAAAAATTCTCACGACGTTTCGGCCACAACAAGTGGCCACTTGTGTTGAAAGAACCAAAGAAGAGAAAAAAAAATATTAAATGGAAAATTAATAATGCACTGTTAAAGCAAGACTATGATTACCATCTAATCAAGCAAATTATTTAGAGGAAGGTGAGAATGTAAAATTACAAATTATATTGGTAGCTGCTCAGTCAGATGTCAGATGTACCATAGGTGAGTAGTGTTTTGTTTCATCTTGACTTAAAGCTTTCGTGACTGCAGGAATTCATATTCTTTGGGTCTTTCGGTAAAGTCACGTAGATAGGTTCAGAGAAAATGAACCTATCTACGTGACTTTACCAAAATAACCTAAGAGTTATTGCAATTTGCCTTTTATAGCCATACCAATATCAAGGGCAAAAACTAAAATCCGCAATGCAATTTCTTTGGCTTTAACTAACTGGATAAATGACACATTTGATATTTTCACAAATTACTTTAGAAATTAAATACACCGTATGTAAATAAAAAAACGCATGTAGCGACAACACGTGGAGGTTGATTAATCGCTGGGGTCGTATGGACGGGGTAACTGGCTGACTGCTGCCACCATGGTGTGCACGCGCATCGCGGTGAGCAGTTTAGGTGAGTGGTGAGCAGAATATTCAGTGAGCAGATTCAGTGAGCGGTGAGCAGTTTCAGTGAGCAGATTATTCGGTGAGCGGCAGTAAGCAGTTTTTGTGAGCGGTGGTGAGCAGATTCGGTGAGCGGTGTGCACTGCAGGCTCGCACCGCGTCTGGATGTGGAAGTTGTTGGTGGTGCCCGTGTGCTCCAGATCGTGAATGGCCGCGGCGAAGATGACGGCAAGCGTCTCCAGCTCACTCAGCCAGTGCTGTTCGAGGGGTGGCACAAAGACACAGGAGGTTGGGGTACAAGGGATCAAGAGGACACGGCGGACACGGATGGTGGTGGTGGTGGTGATGATGATAAACTAAAAATTATTTTTACCAAGTAAGACCCACTGAGCTCTTTTCAGAAGCGACCTGGCCACAAATGATAGCTGAACGAAGTGGCTTATCACCATGTGGAAATGTAGAGTGGCCAAATACCCTAAAAGCATGTTGATTCTAATTGCGGAGGGAAAACCCGGTGGGCCCGAATAAAAATCCACACGACCACGGGGAGAGAAAGACTCGTGCAAACTCCAAATATACAAAGCAGGCGTCAGCGTCTGGATCGAACCCACGACCTCCCGTATACCAGGCCAGGCAGTCAACATTTCGCCACCGCGGGTTCGGTGGTGCGAAACGGCCGTGGTTTGGCGTGCGAAGTTTTGAGGATTGGGGGCCACGGTGGAGCGAGACGAGTGGGGGAGCGTGAAACGACGAGCAAAAACCGGTCGTGAGCGAGGGCGTGGGCAGAGAACCGTGCATTCCGTAGCATGTTAATTGAAATAATACAATTGGGTACAAAACTTACGTTGCATTTCCAATGGGTGCCAGTGCGTGCGTGCGTGGGTGCTGTGGAAAGCGGCGGCGCAGCGGTTAGCGCTACGCTGCGCTGCGAACACGGTGGACTGAGTTAGATTCCCGCTCACAGCCAATAACGGCGACGATTATCTGAACCGGATCCTGGGCCTCACCTAAGTCAACTCAGCCTCAAACGAGTACCTGGTGTGTAAACATCACCACTGAGCAGACAAAGATGGTCGGGCGTGCTGTTGGCCACCCACCCCCTCGTGTACCGCGCAGGGCTTCATAGGTGCTCGCTAACAGCATCCTCTCCCCAATACTCTGTTAAGGTTATACGGGGGACCTTAGTCTTTGTGTGATGTGTGTGCGTTTGCTCGTTATTGAATGCTCCCGAATGTGCTTTGTCTCAATGAGAAGCCCTCTCGTCCTACGATTCATTGCACTGTCTGAACCCCATTGAACTGGCAGGCGAATCTCACCGCTGTCAAAGCAAACAGACGCTTAGAAATAAATCAATCGCTAACCTGGATTTTTTTTAATTCATCGTACAGTCTGAAGTGTGAGGAGCGATTGCCATTCTGATAAAAAAAATAATGTACCGTTATAAATGTCATCAATGTTCTCAAACATAATAGGCACTTGCTCATTATACAGGGGTGTAATTTATAAAGTGAAAACTTGTGAGCGTGTTCGCATTCTTAGTGTCCCACAGTCAATGCATGTTAACAACCGCCAATGACAGATGTGTGGTAATCAGTGATGTATGACTGCTTTTTTCTTGAGACAATCCTGCAATCAGGGTGTACAAGGCACACCTAGTTTCAAAAAACACAATGCTGTAGATTAGATAATTCCCTTGCAGCCCATGTTATATGGATTGGGGAGTCACATTTAACCTTCAGAGAAGAAGAAAAAAAAACATTAGCACCGAGAGGAAGTTTAAAAGACACAAATCAATCTTTGCAAGCTAACTTTTAACGCTGCCTTCAATAACCAGGCCACCTCAACTGAGTGAAGCAACCAAAACTCACGCCGCTATTAATTCCTAGGAGATGAGTGCAATCGTCAAGCTCAGGTAGGCACTGCGATGCCACCACACATGACAGAGCGCTGAACGTACTATGGAGGAGGCTATCGAAGCGTCTCACTCCGATGAAAGGAAATTCCAAGTGGTTAAAAAAAACTGGCTTGCCACACCCACGAGAGAAGAGAGTAAGCAAAGAGTTGGAGCAGGATGGAGCAGGTTAGAGTGCACTTGTTAAATAGAATTTGATAGCCAAAAGCAAAAATAAAAAAGTGAAGACAGTTTTCAACTGGTGCATATTTGCCTGCTATGACTCGGAGACTGGACATGTGGACACTGACAACGAGAACGGAACAAAACAACGAGATTACACAATGAAGCACGGAGAGAGGCATGCTGGGAAATACGCAGAGAGACAAAAAGAGAAACACGTGGATCAGAGAACACAAGTTCTAGACATCGTCGTAGTCACTGTTAAAATATATATAAGTGGTCTTGGATAGGAGGCGTCACTGAACAGGATGATAGCCAATGGTGAAGACCATCATCAAAGATGGAGTGACTAATTCATGTGCAGGAGCAAGATGGATGATGGCACCACAAGACTGTAATGGATGACAACAATATGGGGAGGCCTTCATCCAGCAGTGGAATAATCATGACAATTAATAACGATGATAAGTCGTGCAATTTATTTATACAAGAAAGCATCAAGATGGTAGGACATTGGGATGTTTGGCCAATTCCTTTTTAGTCCGAGCAGCCGGAGAAAACCAACCACGAATATTAGGGGACGACACTCAGCTCGTGTAAAGTGTGGTTGTGTTCACCGTTCAACCTTATTCGGAAGACACTGGAGCTATGCACTTTTAAATATAAATGTTAAACTAATTTATTTAGAAATGCTTTTTTGTGTTTAAGATGCCACGGTGGCGAGGTGTTAACTACCTCGCCTGGTATGCAGGAGGCACAGGGTTCAATCCCGACCCTGACGTTTGCATATTTGGAGTTTGCACGTTCTCCCTGTGGTTCGCGTGGATTTTTCTCCGGGTCCTCCGGTTTTCTCCTCCACGTGTATAAACACGCGTTTAGAATATGTCTGCGATACATTTCCACGTGATAAGCCACTTCGTCGAACTACCATTTGTAGCCAGGTCGCGTCTTGAAAAGAAGCTACACGGCTCAATGGGTTTTACCTGGCATAATAAAAATAGTTTAGTTTAAATAGTTTACAGTTTAATTTGTTGTCCTTCCCCGCACCTCCGATTTAGCACGGGTGGCTACGGACGGCGCGAATGAAGTTCAACGTGCGTGCATACATAGTTGGGTCGCAGCCCAGCAGTAGCTTTGCCCCACAAAGCACACTCCCGCAAGTCACACTCGAGCTGTTCTGATCTGCTGCCACTGCGTCTCCGTGGGTTTCGTTCTCAACTCAACTTGGCTGTCGCTTCAAGCTGGAAGCCTCACCAGTTGGCTTGACATCCCACATCAGGAATTTGGCCGAGTAGGAATAACTCATCGAACGTGTCAAGCAAAAAAAAAATGTTCTCGGCCTGCGGGGGATTGTAAAATGTAATTTAACACAAATTTTCATCAGCGAAGTGGGCTTAATCATCTGACTCGGATGTATATCTGGCGGAGAGATGCTCACCTCGAATGTAACTCAAGTAATTTAACCAAAAATATAGACATTCCAGTTTTTGTGTTGATCACCGAGAGTCGTCCTTCAGCTCGAGTTCAGGTCAACTCACAGGTCAACTCAGCACCACGCGAATTGGGTCGCAGGCCGGCTTACATAGCTGTTACTTCATATTCTCCACAATGACGCTACGTATCATTTTTCATTATATGGCCGAGATTACTTAAATGTTCAATTAATTCTCAAAATATCTTACTTATTTTGAACTGCAAAGTAATTTCACTACTACTTTCGTCATGCCAATTAAATGCAATTTGAATTTTATATTTTTTAGTCCTGCCTTCAAACATTAAATTAATAATTTACAGGTTTTGTCAATCCATTGCCGGATAAAGGTCTATCTCCATGTCACGTGGGTTATGAGGGTTGCACGACCATACTTTACCCCACTGGTCGGTGCAGGTTGGTGAAAGGATGCCATGGCTGGGAATTAAACTCAGGTCACCGGATTCATAGCAAAGTGCAGCTAACCTCTGTGGCACTTTTACCCCACAGTCCTACCTATACCACTTGCTTTATTCACCATCTTATTCCTCCTTTTTCGTACGGCTCATGTAGCTGCAGAGCAACAAGTACAATTTCACATTCAGGTGGTCAAGCCAGACAACCGCGTCAGGAGACAGCGGAGTGTATCGCTGTGACGTCTCCTTCGTATTTGTGGATCGGTCATTGCGTCGTTATATGTTGCACGGTCTGTTCTGGATGACCAAAGTCGCACATTGGACAGTTTAAAATTTTCCATTTTTGCATCAGGTATCGCATCTACTGCCATGGTTTGTGCGGATGCCGTTTATGGTGGTGGACTATGGCCCTAACCAATAATCAATTGTAAGGGAACGCTGTTCTTGGGTAACACGTTGGTTAGCACCTATCGTTTCAAATCGAACCAAAGAGACCCCCAGGAAAAGGGACCCAATGAGAAACATTTTCAGAAATCCATTCCAAATTGCGGTGAAGCGATCTTAATGTCCATGCCACCATTTTCTCTCCTCTTGTTGAATTGCGATGGATTCTCAGTAGCGACGCTCACTCAGATGCAATTTAAATGTTGTACAAATTCATCACGAGTACCGTTATTATTCAATACGCAAGCCGGATCCACCTGGTTCTCCATCCTCCCCTTTAAACTCAAAGGCCTTTTCTCCCCGCAGGACAATGTTAGCCCAGAGCTTTAGGAAAATGTCAAGCTGAAGGCCCTCGAACGTGCGTGGCATTGCGCGCGCGTTCTGTAGCGTCTCGCGGGAGGTGTCCCGCATGGAACCATCAATGGCAAATATTTCTTGACCCTCTCGCATCGAGGCTTCCGGCGTTCACGACATCGCTCCCCGCTCACGAGACGTGGCAACGCTTCACACCTGCCCCCCCCCCCCCCCAACCACGACCCTCGCACGGGTCGATGAATACTCATGATTTTGGGGGTCATGACTGGATAAAAAAAAATGTATCGGTTTGCAGTCTCGTTCGTCCTGTCTCTATCTCTTCCCGTTATTCTGCAACACTTAGTTCCGTTAACCTGAAGGTTATATTGCATTTAACGTTTTGCAAGGTGCAAAAAAATACTTATGAGCAAAATTGGACGTTTGCTTTAAAATATAATTTCTTTAGAGAGTTCACTGGCAGGTGTTTATCTTGAATGCATATACAGTAAAGATACCAACATGTTTCTTCGAGTGAGAATAATATATCATTATGGTGATTTAGAAGACTATCCTCGATGTGTACTATTATACGAAATAAATCGTTTACAAAGAAGAGGCAGGCCATGTTTTGGTTGCTTCTCCTCAGCCATCTTGCAAATTGCTTCATGGGTGATTCAGTTGGTCAACCACGGAGTGGTTACAAGCCAGCCTAGGTACTGGTTTGAGATGTCAACTTCTTCCTTTGTCTGCAATGCTTTAAATCCTTCAAACTATCCCACAGATTAAATTCTTCTCAGGAAACAAGGTATGCCGAATCTATGGTTCTCAATCCCCCTACAGTCTATAATTTCAACATCTACCGATCTACGGAAGTGTGCGAAGCGTTAATGTGGAAAGAACATGCCGTGCGCAGTCTTAGTTGTCGTGCCAGAGGGTGGACTCGCGAGATCGTAATTAGTTTGATGTATCACAATTTTAAATGCAATGCTTGATGGCCCATGCTTCTCAATCTGGTACGCAAGCAGCACCACTGCAATGTGACTTGTTTATTGCGGTGCGAGATAATTAGTCATCAGGGGCCACTGGTGTCTCGTGAGCAGGCGAACTGAGATATTGATTCACGCTGCTTTCTAGTGGTGTAATAAGTCAGTGTAACTCACGGGCGTGTTAATGGGGCCCACCATAACGACGTGTGTGAGAAGGGAGATTGCTAAGGGTTGGGATTAGGGACAAAATTAATGCTACTGATTAACTGCAACACTGTTTTTCAGAGTTGATATTTTTTTTCACGCGACAAGAGACTCAATGCCCTTCTGTGATTTGACGCTAGTGTGGACCTTCTTTAGGTCGACTCAAACTGTCTGGTGTAGTTTGTGTCAGCCCATCATCTCTTCAGGCACGTTTAAATAAGTACCACTTCATGGGATGCCAGCCAGTGGTCAGCCTGCGAATATATTGGCCGCGGCCACAGGCATGTGTAATTTCCTCCATCGGTTCAGGGCCGTCAATGTGACGACATGAACGATGTACAGTGGTACCCCGGAGATCGAACTTAATTCGTTCCAGAAGGCCATTCGAACACCGATTTGTTCGAACACCGAATTAATTTGTCCCATAAGAATTAATGTAAATAACATTAATTGGTTCCAGACACAAGAAATCTCTCATCATAAATTTTTTTTACACGAAGTTTACAGTAATTACATGCATAAAATCATACAAAAAAACAAGAAACACAATAAATAAATGGAACAAATGAATAAATATATGGAATAAATGAAATAAATGAACATTGAACTTCACTTTACCTGTAGTAAGGAGAGTTGATGGCTTGAGTGGAAGGTGGTGAGGAGGTGGTGGTGTTATTGTTTGGAAGGGGAGTCCCCTTTGTCTGGGCAAGCGTCATGCACGCTGGGCCATACACGTCTCAGCCGTGTACAGGTTCTTTCAAGTCGCGATTGCCCATTCGACCTCCGAATTTCGTTCGGTTTCCAGGGCAAAACATGTTCGGAAATATCGTTCGAACACCGATTTGTTCGAGTTCTGGTGCGTTCGATCTCCGAGGTTCTACCGTAAATCCAAAAGCGTTGCGGTCGCGATTGGCGTTGGCCCCTCACACGTTCTCATGTGCCGTGCTGATCTTAACCCTTTCCCATTCCGAGACGTCTGCAAGTTGCAGGGGGTGGGTGTCCCTTGTTCACCGCTGAATCTCGGAACGTGCAAGCGGTTCAGCGTTAATTGTATGTAGAGAGGCACAGCGCAGTTGTTTTTAAAGACATTGCACTTACCGCAGAGAACCGTAACGACAAGACCACTACATGATAGCTGGCGCCAAATTGTGCCACGCACTCCTGCAGGGCCTCGTGGGAGCATCAGTATCAATAAATGTACTTTATTTTAGAAATAACTCATGATGTACCCGTACGTCATTGTAACAGAAAAGGGTTAACAGGAGCTTGATAAATAACCGACAAACGAGCACGGGGGGGGAGGGAGTGACGGTGGAGGCCACAGTGCCCTCTCTTACACAACCCAGGTGCCAACACGCACACTGGCTGTCAGCACTTGCCTTGAGCTTGGAGGAATAATGCAATGGGACACAGAATCACAAGTGAGCTCATGTTCTTTTCCATCCAGTGTTTAGGTGAGACCATCCCAATTTATTCACTGCCAAGAGAGAAAGAAGATCACCGAGGTCGATTTCCTTCCACCGTTTCATTAAGATGAGACTCTGGCCCGTGAACCTATGTGCGCGTGTGTGTGTGTGTAAATTTTATTGTGTGTGTACAGTGGTGGTAGTGCTTAGCTGCACTGCACTGCCAACATGGTCAGCAGAGCTCGAATTCCAGCCATGGTTTATGGCAGTGGCAAATTTTATCATAACATATAATTGGCCTCCCCTAAGGTTGACTCTTGAATGAGTACCCAGTGCAATGTTGTAAACATTCGCAATTGGAACACAAAGGTGGTCAGGCACGACCAAGGACACACCCACCCCCTTATGCCACAATTGCTGTAATAGGTGCTCGCTAGTAGAACTTAAAGTAACAGTCCATTTTACTATGTGGGGAAGGGAGAGTGCGAGGGATCCTTATTTTGGGCACTTGCTCGTAGCAAAGCAATGACACAGGCAACGCACGCAGCAACGCACGCATGCACGCGTTTGACTCAGTAATCCTGCATGCCCGCCTGAAATCGCTCCAATTTTCCGCTCGTGCGTGCGCTCGCTCGCAAAACTTCACCCAGAGATGCTCGCTCACAGATGTTCGCTCATGCCTGAATGTCGATGAGCGCCCGAATGTGTGCGTGCGTGCGCATGTTGGGGCTGGGTGGAGTGGTAGTTTAGCGGTTAGCACGCAGTGCTCCAAACTCGGCGACCTTAGTTCAATTCCCGCTCACGGCCAACATCAGTGAGGATTTCCTGGCCCTTCTCTAGGTCGACTCAGCCTCAAATAAATACCTGGTGTGGTGTGTAAGCTTCGTCACTGGGGAGACAAATGCGGCCAGGCGTGTTGCTGGTCACCCACCCCCTCGTGTGCCATTCCGGCCGTCATAGGTGCTCGCTAACAGCACTTGCCCCAACAGTCAATTAAGACGACACGGGGGATCTTTGTCTTTGTTTGTGTCGGAGGCTGCACGCACCATGAGGCCCGACTGCAGGAGCAGGTAGTGCACGGTCTGGGTGACGTCGGCGGCATGCGCCAGGTTGTGGTACGGGTTCTTGTGCTTGCTGTAGCCCGCCTCCAGCGCCTCCACAAACGACACCAGCGCCGCAACGGGAATCTGCACGGGTAAGCGCATGCCAGTACGACGCGCCGGTCATCCGGATCATCCATTACGACACCCCCCCCACCCCCCCGATGCGGCATCGTTACATAACAATGTGTGTCGGAGTGGGAGTGCAGTGGTACACCACACCTCCGATTAGCACGTTGTCTATAAGCCTCCCTCGGCCACCTGGTTGCATACGGTGTGAATTATATTCAATATACATACACACACTGGTTAGTAAACTACCGTGAAATCCCAGTGACGTTGGTCTAATTCCCAGCCATGGATGACACCAGCGGCAAATACTTCCGCTATGTGTAGCTGTTCTTTATACCCATCTGAAAACCTATGGAGACCAGGAGTATCTTTTTCAAGGGGCATCTGGGGTTAAGTAAATCTTATCTGAAGGTGTGCTGGCCTTCCCTTAGAGGGTGGTAATGTTGCCGAGTAGTAGCATTGTGAGCTGCTTGTTGCAGAAGTTTTCAGTTCAAACCCGGCGGGCCGCCCTGGTTAATACTGCAGGCGCATGAAACAAACTTGAGTGCCGTGTGCTTCACACTGGACGTTCAAGATCCCATTATTCGGGGCTGCATGTCTCTTCTAGTGGCTCTCCCCCTCTCTCAAGTCACCCCTTAATCACGAGCAGCCTCTCTATGGCAACGCATCTTCATCTATTTTTATTTTACAAGGTAAAGCACCACTGAGCTATTCGCTCTGTTTTCAGAAGCGACCTGGCCACAAATGATAGCCCAACTAAGTGGCTTATCACGTGGCAATTCATAGCAGCCAAATAATCGAAACACTAAATATGGAGGGAAAACCCCGAGGACCCGGAGAAAAATCCACACGGCCACGGGGAGAGAGAAAGGGAGAGACACGCAAACTCCAAATATACAGCAAGCATCAGGGTCGGGATCGAAGACCACGACCTCCTGCAAACCGGGCGATGGGAGATAACGTCTGTTCAGCGTGGCGTCCCCCACCTTGTATCGCGAGATGAGCTCGTATCTCGTGAGCAGCTCATGCATGACGAACTTGAGTGCGTGTTCTCCACTCGCCTCGTTCAGCACAAACACGTCGAACGACCACTTGTGCACGTCCTGCGGAGCACGAGGGAATAACCGGTGCAAGGTCGGTCTAAGAGTATCGGGCGGATGTAGAGCATCCGCTCGGTGGGAGCTCAGCACTTAATTTCATATGCCGCGTGATTATTTTTGTTCGTAGGGTTTTCATTTTTGTTGTTGTTTCCCTTTCCCCTTCTCTCTCCCTCCCTCCCTCCCCTGACGCCTTTTCTTCCCACAGTATGTTATTTATCCATAATAGAGGTTTTTTGGTTGGGTTTAGATCATGCAAATATAAATGTGTCGTTAAACCCGCCACTACCCGACACAAGCCAATTAGGCTTGTCATGTAAACAAAACTTGCCAGTTAGGTACTAGTTCGGCACACCGGTGTGTGTGTGTGTGTGTGTTGGAGAGTAAACCCACAACATTTTACAATTCGAGTTGGATGTTTCACCTATAATTACAACTAGCCTCATCAGGCGACAGCCAGAATTGGCTGTGTCGGGTGGTCGCGGGTTCAATGACACATTTTTACTTACGCAATCTAACCCAACAATAAAACCCACCTCTTTTTATGGATAACATTGGTCGTGGAAGCCTACGTGTTGAACCAGTATGTTAGTTACCTTACCCCTTTCCCCTCCCCCTCCCGATAAAAAAAAACCTTCGTTTCCGCTGCAGGTGGTTCCCACTTGGGTGGCGGCAGCGAGCCCAATTTCCCCCCACTCCTAACCTCCCCCCACACACCACCCCTGCTTCGTAAGGTCCCGTCGCGCCGAAATGGGGTTGCTGTACCTGCGAAGTTTCTCTCCTTCTCCGTTTGCAGCCGGCGTATTGTCGCGGGCTCGCGGTCTGTCGCAATTCATACCCGATAATTTGACACTGGAGCTTAATTCAGCGTTCAAACTCGATTTAATTTCCGCTTTGATGACCGTGCGAGCGGGAGTATACGAGCACCCTCTTTGATTATTTTTTTTTTATCCTCGCATATTACGTTCCGATCGTCTCATCAGCGTCACGTCGCTTGGTTAAGTCATTTAAATTTGGAGCTTTCCTGTTCGAGAACGTCCTTTGGAAGGAAACATCACAAAAGTACATCTGAATGAGCATTAGGCCATGCACCATCGCACGCGCCCTACTGTTGACGTATTTGTCATGATGGCAGCCAAACTTAATGTTTGTCCTCATAGCTTTTGAACATGTCAAATTAAGTGGAATACTAGATTTCATATGGAAGTCTTGTTGGACAGTCGTTGACTGGGTTGAGACCGTCAACTCGCTACTCTAAAGGCCCCGGTTTATTTCCCCTGCCCTTCCCCCTTCCTTCATCTCCTTCCCCTCCTCCATAAATAGACTGCTCCCGATCGTTCCCCTTACCACGGTAGGGCAGTGAGCCAGGACTCTGCCTGTCGGTCCCTAATTTTGAGGATGTATCGCTCCCGATTTATTCCATGTTATTTTCTGTTTCCCCCCCCCCTCTTTGAAATCTACTTTGCATTCTAGATTCTTGAATTTAAAAATAAATACAATTCTAAAAGTAACCCAGTTTTTTCTGGATTCCAAGCCCAGATGTCTCAGTGGTGCCAGGTTACTGCTCTGCCTTGATATTAGCCCCCCCCCCCTCTTCTCCCCCTCCTCAGCCACCTTGTCCACCTCCTCCATCGCGTGTGAGGGCCCAACTTGCCTTCAGTGCCACCAGAACGTTCGGCGGATAGCTGAGGCCGACCATGTTTGATGTGCGCCGATACATCCTGCACACGTAAAAAAAAACACACGTGCATGCGGTATTCACACAATTTGTCAAAAGAGGTTATACGCGTGTGCATCTAATGTGTTCTGGCATGTGCGTTATTTATTTATTAGTATTATTCTCGCTGTGCTCAATAGAGACAATTATGAAGTGATCATGATCGAATGTAATTTTTAAAAAAAAATTAATTGGAAATACATTCCATGCACGATGGTGCACAAATGTTACAGATTATACATTATTCATGGAGAAACACTAACATGAACATGGATTTGTGTGGCCTCTAATGGAATGAAAGTGTATCGACAACGTGAATATGAACATGCTGCTTTTGCAGAAAAAACAACCGCACGGACCCGCAAGGCCCCGACTTAGGCTTTGCCGGCGTTCGGCTGTTTGAACATAAGTCGCCAGGTGTGCATAGCATACAACTGTCCCGCACCTCTATTAGCACGGTTTACTACGTTCGGTGCGAAAGAAGTTCAACACACAACAATTAAACACAAAGTATATAATGACTACGGTTGTACGATTTTGGAATTAACAATTTGTCTCATTTATTTATCTATCAGGGAAATCCTCACTAGGTCTCCGCTCAAAAGAGACTCCTAGTCAGGAGGATCATACATTGAGACATTTGGCCAATTCCATTTTATTGAGTGACAGGGATATTGGAGGAAGCTGCAGAACCCGCAGAAAACCCACAACGCATACGCATGAATAATACTCAAACGTCCGCACAGTTGAAGCAGGAACCCCCTTGTTGTGCAGTCATTTCCAGACCACTTCGCAGTCCATTGCATTTGGGAATTCCACAAAGCTCTGCGTGATCCTCAAACCCTTGCCTCCAAAATGCTGGATCACAGACAAGGATTGCTCATAAGTACCTATGTATGGTGTGGTCAGCACCACGCCAAGCAACCATTGTCATCTGATTTCCAATGTTTACACAGCACACCGTGTACTAATTTAAGGCTGAGTTGACCTAGGGGAGGCCCCAAGACCGGTTCAGATATCTGCCGCTGATGTTGTCCGTGGGTGAGGATTGAAGCCAGGTTTCCGGGTTTGTGGGCGCCATGGTGGCGAGATGTTAATGACCTCATCTGGAATGCAGGAGGTCGTGGGTTCGATCGCGACCCTGATGCCTGTATATTTGGAGTTTGCATGTTCTCCCTGTGGTCGAGTAGATTTTTCTCCAGGTCCTCTGGTTTTTCCCTCCACATCTAGAATCAACATGGATTTGGAGTATTTGGCTGCTGTAAATTTCCATGCGATAACCCACTCCGTCATTTAGGGCCAGGTCACTTCTTAAAAAAGACAGATGTGTGTATGTTGAACTTCTTTCGCACCGCACATAGCCAACCGTGCTAATCGGAGCTACACAGCTCGGTGGGCCTCACCTGGCACACACCAAAAAAAAAAAGTGCTTCATAATTTAGCTCAGTAGTACCGTAGCGCGGTAACCCACTGCGCTGTTCCGTACGCTCCCGACGCACCTCTCCACGAAGATGCCCGCCTGCACGGCGTGCACGATGCTGCGGAAGCGGGGCTTGTCCTCCGGCCGGCGCGCCGTGACGCCCATGCGGCGCGTGAAGGTGGACGCGAGCCAGTCCCGCACCTCGGCCGGCACGGCCTCCGAGCTGATGTCGCCCAGCTCATCCTCCGAGTCGAGCAGCCGTCTGCAACGAAGGGCGCGCACGCGCGGGCATGACAACCGACGCTCTCGAGCGTCGTTACGGGGCCCCACGATAAGGCCAAAGGGCCCAAAGGGAGTCCCCGCTGCCTTTATCCCCACTGCCAGCAACCACCAATGCTTTTCCACGCACATCCCTCACTGGTCTGGCTTCCACCGCTGGTGGTGCATTTCCAGGTCTCCCTTGCAAACCAAACGTTTTTTTTGCTGAATGCCATGGGCTTTTTACCCAGTGGCATAGCTATTAAGTGCACAGGTGGTAGGTGTGGGTCTATTTTTCCGTGTTACTTTTTATTAAGACATTTACGCACGTTAATGTACGTATATGCGTACGTACATTAACTTGATTTACCACCAAGCGGAAGCATGCGCCTGGGGGTCCATGGGGCTGCAGGAGCTCGGGTGCCCGGTTACGAAGAGCGGGGGAAATTGGACTAGGGACCCCATGTGATTATTTGCACCAGGGAAGGGCATTTGCCATCTACACTCCACCACTGCCCCCCACTTGGTTGTGAATGAATTTCGTGCAGGTATCTATATTTATAAATCTGCTCTGTACAATTTTTGTTTGCGGGCGGTTTGTTTTATTTTGCGAGTGGTTGGAATTAATTTTTTTCTCAGCCGGTGTTAGTCGCTGAGGTCGTAACGCGTTTCTTTTTCATTCCTGTTGCTCTGTGCCTCCCTATGCCGTTCCCGTTCTGCTGTAAAGTGCACTATCGGCTTGCACTAAAGTAATACGGAAAATTGGCCTCTGACCAGCGCTCACTGCAAAGGGAGCAAGTGAAACTTTTTTGACTGATGTAGAGGGCCCTCAGTCCAACAGCAGAGGAGAACCGCTCACATATTAATCGGCAATGTAAAAATAACATTGATAGCAACAAAAAATTACGACCTTTATGTACTTAAGAAAGCCTCACAGAGTCCAATGGCTCTTTTTCGGGAGTTTCTTGCATTGGGATGTTAAGCAAATTGAGGCCTCCCCAAACGGTGTCGATCATTGGGATTGTTCGACCACTACACTGCTCAGTAAAGGTGGCCAATGTGGAGGTGGGGGTGGGGGCACAGTACTGACTGATGCATCGCTCTTCATTGATCTGAGCCATGGCAAGGGAAATTTGAGCTCAGATCGCTGCCTTAATAACGCAGAGCGTGAATCACTGTGCGACCGCTCCGTTTCCTTACGTCTCTACGTCTTCATAAAGCCACAATATTACAATAAATACTTAAGTAATGTGAACTTAGGGTACGCGCAGTAGTGATATAAATGTCGGTACACTCTGTATGCTGTTGGTCAATGCTGTCCCCTACACTACGTATGTCCAAACACACACACACACACGCGCACACGTGTCCTTGACTACAGCCCTGCCTAACCCGCGTGGCCTGTATTGATTAAGTGCTGCAACGGAGGGTTCATGCTGAAGTAAAAAAAAAACAAATATTGTTACCAAAGCAACTCATGCTCTGTTTGTCTGAATTACGGCAAAGGCACCTGTGGCGTGAGCCTCTGCCGCTGCTCTTCAAGGAGAACGGAGAGGTCACTGCGCTCATACATTGTCTAAATTATTGCCCAAAGATGCATGTCACTGTGACATGCCCTGTACACGGAGCACATTTTGTTATCACGTGCGTGTGCACATTGTAACGCACGGGCAGGTATCGTCTGCGGAGTATACCTTCGTGTTGATTTGAAGCTGTCGTGACTGCAGGAATCCATACTCTCTGGTGTCGGGACCGAAACGTCGTGTTCCTTTATTAGTTTTTCTATCTACGTGACTTTACCGAGAGAACCGGAGAGTATACCTTTCTCGTGTATGCCAACAGTCATCATCCTATGGACAATCCGGCCTGCACCATGGGAATGTGGAATTTCCACCGCTGGCTTAGGATTACCGATGCAGAAGAGGCGTGCCATGCGAATGCTCGTTTGAGGGAGCATAACTCATTCAGCATGCCTGTTCACTCTGCGTGCTTGCGTGCATTATTCAAGTTGATGCAGACGGGATGCATGGTTGATGCGTGTATGCTGATGTGTCAGTGTGTACGTGTTGATGTGCTCCTGTTGTGCGTGTTGACGTTCGTGTGCGTGTTGCCATGTGGGTGCGTTGATGTGTGGATGTGCATGTGCTGGGTTCTGCGTGCTGATGCATCAGCGTGCGCGTGCAGCTGCGTGAGTGTGTGCGCGTGGATGTATTGACGCGCGTGCGAGTGTGCGCGTGTTGCTGCGCAAGTGTGTGCGCGTGGATGTATTGACGTGCGTGCGAGTGTGCGCGTGTTGCCGTGCGAGTGCCGTGGGGCACCTGGTCTCGTCTATGTAGAGAGCCTCGAGCACAGAGGCCGCGTACTCGATGTTCCGGCGGAGCTCGGCCACGGGAATCTCGCCCTTCTCCAGCTGCTTCACCAGGCAGCGGAGCCTGGGCACACGCAGGGGACGGGACAGCGGAGGACGAGAGTGCATACAGAAATAAAGATCCCCCGTATAGCCTGAACACACTTTTGGGACAAGGGCTGGTTGCGCGCAGCACCTATGAAAGGCCGGCACGGCACACAAGGCGGTGGGGTCGCCAGCAGCATGCCCGGCGTCCTTTGTCTCTCGAGTGGCGATGTTTACACATCGCACGATGTCCTCATTTGTGTCCATGACCATTTTAGAGGGTTAACGTGACTGTGTTTGTGGAGTGGTAAGGGTTGATGAGTAGGAGGGATTTGAGTTTCGGCATCACTCCTGTGCATGTGCAATGAATAGAATTTCTTAGAAAAATGAAATAAACGTATGGATATGTGCGCGCTCAACGGTAGAACATGTGCATTGTGGGCATTTGGCCAGGAAGGTTACAATTCATACAGCATCCCGCCCACCCACACCAAACGTGAAAGTTCAATCATAATCATAAACGTCGACACAGGGAAATGAACGGTTATTGAGAGCACTAATGAAACAATTATACATGTCGCTTGTTCTTCAGCACTAACTCAGGAGCTGAATTAATGGATCCGCCATTCTGCAGTGACACATTTGAAAAAAGGCTTCCATTGAGATGGGCTTTTATGTACAGATCACACGCAAAAAAATATGTTTGTAAAAAAAAGCATTGGGAAATTAGTGCAATCTCTCATCCCCTGAATCACTTGGAGATATCCAATATGAACTTAAGGTGTTAAATTAATAAGGCATGCAAACTGAATAGATTATTTGACACGGAATGACACGGATGACAGGGTAATATGAATTGCATTAATACAGTCCACACACGCATAACCAACACACAGCCACACTCTGTGTTGCTTCACAACACAGCTTAAGGTCAGTGTTGACTCGACGAACGACTTATGACCAAAGGAGAGACGTAGTAGACCTGCAGGGACCGATAGTCAGCGCTGCAGACACTGAATACCACACAGCCCAGTGACCGGTTGCGTAAAAGACCTCAAGTGTAAATTTCTCCTTGCGAAGAATTAAATAGGAAACTAATGCAAAGCTTAATCGACGTTGTTTTATGCAACCGACAACAGAATTACGTGCCATTATTGACTTTGAATGAAACAATAGAACCCTTTAATTTGCTACACATTTGGTGGTAATTGCTCCTCAGTGCTCGTACAACAATAACCATACCGATTTACAGCGCTTTTTTTCAATCCACTGCTGGATGTAAGCTTTACCATACTGTGCTGGCCATGCTATTTTATGTTGCCATACCATGTGGGTCAATGCAGGTTCGTCAAGGCGGGGGGGGGGTGCTCCCAACACTGTTTCAGACATCACTCTCCCCTGATCTCAGTTGTGGCCAGCAAACCAAACTCACTCCACTGCACAAGAACATTATATGAAGGTGGCCTTCACAGCTAATCAGTTACATTTTCAATTGGAATATTCACAGCAATCATCGGCCCCTGCTGCAAAACACCTTGGCAGGATCCTCCTGAAAAGAGGCGTGAGGCTCAGTGAGGCTTTTCTGGGTGGGTAGACAAAAACGTGATTGAAAAAAAGGGAAAAACATTTAAAATTGGTTATAAAAAACCATAAAGCATAAATACATATTACAGTATTAAATTATAGTTTATAAATGAACTTACTTTAAATTATGATGATGCTACGCATCATCACTTTATCTCAACACTTTAACTCGATCACTTTCTGACAGTCGTGTAAAGTTCCAGATGCGATTCGTGGATCGCAAGTTTGTGAATAGAGAGGAAATACTGGAAGGTAAAAGCAGCTCATCACAGGAAGGACACGAGTCCAAATCCCTGGCTCACATTACGCAGCGCTTTCTCCAAAACACCAGCTGGAAAATAGTCGTCTCATCGCATTAATCAACGCCACTTATAGTTTAAGTCAATGTGCAGGAAATTACGTTTCAAATCTCATGGTGATGATATTTTAAAAGTAAAATGCAGACTTGTATAACAATGTATATGTTTACTATTAACATCAGCTCAATTGTCTTCTACCTTCGTGTTCCACAGGAATGTTATAGTTAGGGAGCTAAATCCTATTTTTGTTACCTCCTTATCTGCCTAGGAGGGGGAAGATTTCCCTTTTTACGCCCCCACGATGCCACCGATGTCATGGATGCGCTGAGAGGACTCGAGGTGAGACCCACGGGCCCATGGCACCATACCTCCTATTGCTGTGTCTATGAAATACATTGGGTCAAATAAATCGCTGCCCATTTGCCCTCATTAGGTGATCAAGGTGATTTTGTATTTCTAAATCGGGTAGTGTATTCAAAGCACATGCAAATGCGATTACAAATGAGCAAACCGTGCATTCGTCTTTTAAGTGAAGTATGCAAAGTGAAGTGCTCGATATCCAATTTGCAGGTGAATGGCCAGGGCATATTGATGAGGCTATGTGGACTCTGTCAAAATTATCCTTACTACGGGGGACATATGAACTGTCTATTGCAGTTTCTTGGTATTTTCTTGTTAAAAAAACATCTTTCTGGAGACATGCTGATACATTTCTCACAGAGAGAGAGAGTTTTCATCAGTGGACTTATATCAATATTTCTCAGCAGATGCAAAGGGCTGTGAAATTGTTTGACCACGAAAATGGAAATTACCCTACATTTTCCACTTCATTCCTCTTATCGACCTTCCCTTCTGACTCATGGCAACGCGCTGGCATGCATCCAGGCTGCGGCTACGGACTGCCCATCAAAGCATCCTCTGATAAGTAACCGCTTTAATAAAAAAAAGTATATACCAACTGTTAAAAATGGATATAAAAAACATTTCCGGATCCTCCAGTTTTTCCTTCCACATTTCGAAAATGTTATTTAGATTATTTGGATTATTTAGCTGCTATACATTTACACGTGATAAGCCACTCTCCTTCCACATTTCGAAAATTTCATTTAGATTATTCAGCTGCAATACATTTACACGTGATAAGCCACTCTCCTTCCACATTTCGAAATTTTTTATTAGATAATTTTGATTATTTAGCTGCTATACATTTACACGTGATAAGCCACTCTGTTGAGCTATCATATGTGGCCAGGTCACTTCTGAGCAATAAGTTAATACCACAGTGGGCTTTTGTAAGATTAAAAAGTCTAGTTTTAATTTGTTGAAATGTTTTATTGATTTGTTTACCTGTCCTATACTTTGCACTCCTATCGTAGTTTTGTTTTGTTTGTTGTTGTAATGTTCTGACCCGCCGCTACTGGACATCTGTGAAAAAAAGCTTTATTGCTCATCGGATTCCACCAGTATAAATACATATTCTGATTCTGATCTCATGACAAAATATATAAACATGTATAAAAATGGAAACTGTTATGGGGAAAAAGACTCACTCAATTACAAATACTTTTTAATTTTCAGAAATACAAATTTATTGATAGGCTGCATTGACAGTGGCACACAAGCCCAAATAAAAAAAAAACATCACCGGGTTCACCATGAACACCGTCTTCAATAGGAAACATGATTCATCATCAATTTATTTTGGGTAAGCTCATCGAGTAGCTATAATGCCAGTGTTTTAACCCCAAACCTCCACAGCCCGACAGAGCCAATCAAATCACGTTGTCATGGCATGGGCAAATATTTCAATTGATTTGGTTATTTAGCAAAAAACGGAATTTTAAAAGCAAAAAAAAATGGTACCGTATTTTACACGTCATTTTATTGGAAATCAGTTTGTTGTCTTTCCCCGATGAACATGGTTGGCGATGTGCAGTGCAAAAGAAGTTCAACGTACGTATATACATTTACGCACGACAGCTGGGTTTTTGTTCACGCCCGATGATGTTGGATGTAATCTCCGGCGAAACGTTGTGCAAATTTTTTTCTCGCTTTTCAACGTTCCTCCTGGCTTAGTTGAAAAAGCCAAATTCATTGGCACATGTACCCACGGCGTGGCAACGTGAATTGGCTGGCTCTGTCGGGTGGTGGAGGGTTTTAGATGAGAGATTTGGCGTTATACCTACACGATGATCTCACCCAAAGGAATAAACTAATCATGAATCACAATCGGTCGTGAAAGCCTACGTAGACAATGAAAGAGAAACATAAAATAGAGGCTAAAGTGTCGGGCAAAGGCTCTTCTTGTTCACAATGGCCATTGCTTCACTTATTGACATTGAGCGAAGAAAGCCGGTTATTTATTTTATGTTCTAAGACATTATTAACGACGGGAAGGGGGGGGGGCGAGATTTTTGCCGATATGTCTGTTCACAAACATCTATTTTTAGTGGGTTTTAGATGTAGGAGGACACTGAAGTGCTTGGAGAAAATCTATGCACACATGGAGAGAGAAAACCTCCCATACAGCACAGTGATCATAATCCTACTTGTTGTACTGCCTCCTACTCTCATATCCTTGTTCGGCTGGTTAATTATTCACGCCCATCACCATGATTGCATCTATGAGTAATTCCCCAATTGAATAATCACACTGCTAACAGCAACGCATGCCGCTGGCTCGTAAAAATACCTGAACCGAAGCACAAGAGGCCCTTCCTAAAATGTGACACCATAACCAAAACGAGCTTTCGCGGATTTTCTGTTGACCCAAACGATGAGCAAAGCTCCTGGGACAACCCGTGCCACAAAGAGCGCATGTAGGATGAGAAATTAATCCTACCATCCCGAGATATACAAGTTTTGCCCTCTTAAAGCCCCGGTCTATCCACAGTGCTGCGTGAGCGTGTGGCAACAACCTTAAAGCCGTTTGCTGAGAGTGATCACTGTCGGTTGGGAGAGACTCTCTGTATGGAGACACTCTTCAAGTCTGAAAATACCCTTGCTGATACAGGCCGAGTGTGTGGAGACAGCATTAAAACATCTCGCTAAGGACGGTTGACTTTCAGAAAGGATGCATATGTGGAGACACTCTTAAGGACTTGGCCGAGACAGGCTGACGTTCGGCAAGGTTTGCGTGCGTGTGAAGACACTCCGA